TATAAAATGTACAATACAATTTTTTGCATATTAATATAATGAAAAAATATATCTTAAAATGTTAGTCAAAATTTTTATAATTTTACTCTAAAAATAAAAATTATGACAAATAATATCGCACGAAGAGAGTATTAATTCTTGCCTTACCTAATAGGGAACTTCACTAAAAATTATTTCCGACAAAATATAATGGAAGTGCTTTTACCAAGTCAAGATTGCGCACCTTAACAAATCCAAACTTTTTTTCTTGTTTTCCAGGAAAAAAAATAATAAGTATATATATAGAGAGAGAGTATGGCTTTTGCTAGGCGCCGCGCGCATAGTTAAAAATAAATAAACAACGACGACGGCGACTTAAAGTTGTACAATAAACTTTTCTCAATTGTTTGAAGTAAAGGGAAATGACACGAACACAACATATTAGCTTTTGGATACATGCTACCAAATAAAATAAGATATACTATGAGTTAAAAGCTGGTTTTTGACTTATTTAGTTGTTTGGCAATCCTCAAAATAACTTATTTTAAGTTAAAAAAAACTTATTTTAAGCCAAAAGTTAAAAGCTGTGGTAGGAGTGATTTTTTTTTAGCTTATAAGCTGTTTTAAGTTGACCACATTTTTATGTTTTTGCCCTTAATATTTTTATACAATCTCCAAATTACCCACATAACCTAACATCTCTTTCTTCGGTTTTTTCCTTTTCACTTTTGACATAACAACTTCAGCACTTTTATCCAAACATATAACTGCTTATTTTAAAAATAAATTTTAGCACCTTCAAAAATACTTTTTTAAAGCTGCTTTTATTAAGCCCATCCAAACGGGCCCTATGTAATGAAAAAGAAGCTAAATTTTATAGGAGAAAGTTTATTTTGTTGTGAATTATACTGGACTGGTTGCTTGTATAGTGTAAATTAAAATGAAAATGAGTGTGTTGGGTTATAGAATAAAAAAAATGAGTTTTTGTGGCTGCTGGGATTCGAGCCCAGGTCTCCACGGCCACAACGTGGAATTCTTACCACTAAACTACAGCCACTTGATGTTCAAATTGTTTCGCTTTAGTTGTAAATTGTTCAAAGAGCTTTGACTAACAAAAATGCTGATATAGTACGAGTAGGTAATTATGTGAAAAACAAACACCTAATGTTTTGATTTATGCAGTCAGTGCTTTGAAGATACATTTTGTTCTTTAAAGTTAAAAATATCATCCTTTATATCCTCTTATATTTACGATTCTTTTTGAGTGATGAATCTACCATAAATAAAAATATCAATATGACTGACTCATTTCATTCGAAGTAATCTATACAAGTTATTAAATTTGATGGGTTAAATTGGATTGATCCATTTTTTTGTGGGCCATAAAACATCAGGCCAACCACAGGTACATGGTCTATGAATTGTCCCGGGTCAGTTCTCTTTCCTAAAGTAGGAATATTAACCGTAATGATTCCTTAGAAATTTTAGGAGATTTTTGTTTTTATGTAATACAAAATTTATAAAAGTAATTCATATTTAAATTTAAAAATTTAAAGCTTTAAATTGAATTTGAGTTTGAGCTCTTGCTATTTTTATTAATATATTTTATTCTTTAATCAATTTTTATTTAATTCACGAGCTGTCGCTATCCATATTTCTCAAGCCTCAAAACAGGTTCGGGCTGAGCTAAAAAGATTATTTTTTAAATTGGCTCTAAAAATTTTAATCCAAACCTTTAACAAATCACGAATTTAACCAGGTCAGCCCATGTGTACGACTTTAGTCAGAAACAACTTCTCTATCACATTGAGTAATGTTTGGTACCCCCACCTCCCAAAAAAAAACTCCACCCCATGTCCCACTTGTAAGTTTCAATTTTACAAAATGCAGGAAAAATTATGCATAATGACAAACATCTAGCCTATATTAGTTACTATAATCACAAATTAAGAAAAATATATTTAGCATTAATAGTTTTCCCAATTCTCACTGTTCGCTTGAATTGTATAAATCTAGAATTCATATATGAGAAAATTATAACTCGTGATAACTGTTTTCCCAATTCTTACTATTCACTTGATCTGCATATAATTCGATTCATGATTGTATAAATTCAGTTTTTTTTAATATATTTATCCTAAATATTTGTATATGACTTATGAAAAAATCATAATAAATTACATAGTTTGTATATTGATAAGGAAAACATACTCAAATGGAGTTCTGGAAAAAAAATTAAAATGTATAAATACATGATTTGTATATACTTAACCTATTAGTATATTCACAAGTGAAATATAAAAATGGGCCGAAATATACAAATAAAAGCCTCCATAACATACAAGACTATACTTATAGAATAGAATTATCAAAATTATGGCTATAGAACATTATTATGTTTGTTATTTTTGAAATTTTCTCAAAAAAAAAAAAGTATGATTTGATTATGCTTCTTTTGATTGATATTTTATTTGCTGAGATAAAATCCATCTCTCCTATCCATTAGGCCCATTAGCACATGCCCAGTCCTTGATAACATGGGCCCATAGACGTCAAGTTTAACAGACATTTTCTTTTTGTAATTGCCACAATCATTTTTTGAAGCTCTAATTAAGTTTTTGTCACTTTTCATAAATATGTAATTCAATTTTATTTAATATATTAATGATATTTTTAAAAAATATTCTTAATTAGTTTAAACACAAAAAAAAACAGAGAAATATTTATCAAACTTTGTATATTTATTAGTTTAAACTTTATTAATTATTTGTGGGGTTTGAACTACACAATAGTTCATGAGTTTGAAATTTCAACAAATTTTGACACATAAATTGTGAACATTTGAACTTATAAAAGTCTGATTTGTGGATTTTGAACTTTCATATAGGATGTTAAAGTTGTTTCATGTTTCTATTGAAGTTTATCTAAACTTGTTTTCTATTAAAAAGTGGTTAGTTTTTAATTACATTCGAATCGATAATTAAATTTATTTATTGACTCAAAAATTGATTATTTTTACAATTTCTAATGAATGCGAAAAAAGTTTGATGTTTAACTGTTAAAAATAACAATGACTTCACAAAATATTTAACATCATTATTCATCCTTTTACATTGTTATTATTCACCATTATCAACTTTTATCATCATGTCAATCAATATATTTAATTGTCACAATCAACCAACATTTTTACATTCATTACCATAAACGTCAATTGTCCTCCAATCACTGTCAATAATCATCACTGCGATGCATCAACCATCAATATATATCACACGATATTACTATATACATTGTACGATTATCAAATTTCATCACCAATTATTACCATCGTCCATCAATCACTATCTTTTAGTCATTCCTCCTTTACCATTAACTACTTACTACTTATAAGTTAGGCTTAAGTCATATGCAGCCTTCAAAGTTGTCCGCACATTCAATTAGACACCTCAACTATAGGATGTCCCAATTGAACACTTCAATTATTCAAAATTCATGTCTATTTGACACAAAATGCTGACATATTGACAAACATGTAGTTTACTCTCTCTAAGCGTGCAAAGGTACCTAAATTATTCAATTTTTTTTGCTTCTATTCATTTTTACACCTAATTTAACATTTTTTAAAAAAATAATTAACGAAAATAAAAAGAAAGAAGGAGTCGTCTTCTTCCCCTGCATCTCAATATTTCTTTCTCTGCAGCTATGCTCAATTCCTTATCCACCATTTTCATCAACTTTGTTATGCACATGCATAACCCAACCCGTTCCTTGCACCTCTGTCTATTTCGCACACTTTACAGTTCTTCTCTTGCTTTTTTCTTGTATAGATATACGTGTCAAATATTGATATGACGAATTATTTATTAACTGAAAATGTTATTATCATAATCATTCCACGATCAAAGCCACGAAAGTGATGCATTGCTTTATGCCAGTGGAGGTATAAAATTGAATTGAGGAAAAGAAAGAGATAAGACGATGATTTGCTGGTGTCGTAATTGCCGCCGACGCCGATGAAGAGGAAATGGGTCGGGCGGGTATTAAATAAAAAAATAAAACCCAAAATAAGTTTTTATATTTATAAAATTACTTTTGAACTATTTAAATAGATCTTTTCAAAAAAATTGAATTCTATCCACGTGTCATCATTTTATTGGTAGGTTGTTTTCTTAGAAAATTCTTTTTAACTTTTTTAGTTAGTAAATAGACCAAAATAGTTATTTTTTCAGAATATCATTTTTAAGTAAAATTTTGAATTCAAATGTTACGTGTATTATTTAATTCATCAATTTGCCTTGTCATAGCGAGTACATTACAAACATCACATATATTTGATTGATTGTCAAAAAATATCAAAATATATATCAATTTTAAGAGGTATAGGTGTCTAATATGTACTAGCCCTAATTTAAATATCTAAATTAATTATTCGGATGAATCTATATACCATCTTTTTAATGGACACCCAAAATCACACATCAAACATCATATACATGTTGAAAACATATTATTGATATAGCTACATATATGTTTTAATATAAATAAAAGACGAGTCATATATTCAAAAATTAAGAATCAAATAATTTTAATTTATTTAATATTCAAAACTTAATACTATTTAAATTTAGATATTCTAATTTTAATACACGTCTGATAAAATAGATGAGGACTAAATAAATAATTTGAGACTATCTTTTCTTTATTTGGCGGCCCACAAATAATTTAGATTCTCGTAACCCCCTCTTTTTCTCTCACTGAAAAAGCACAATCCGTGTCCAAACACAAAGAAGCACTCGACACCGTAGATCTCCATTCAGATCAACGGCTTATATTCAGTTTTCTCCATTCACGTGGATCGACATTCTTATCCGTCCGATTATCAATAAATTTCCCAAAATTTAGCGGCCATGATTTTAACCCCGCCTCATTTCAAACCGCCCACGAAATCCTCGACGCCCAAATTCACCAACTATAAATAGCCACCACCATCCCCTTCATCAATCATCAAATTTCATAACCCTAGAATCATCACCTTTTTCAAATTTCTATGTGAAAAATGTCTGGTCGTGGAAAGGGAGGCAAGGGATTGGGAAAGGGGGGAGCCAAGAGGCATAGGAAGGTTCTAAGAGACAATATACAGGGTATCACTAAGCCAGCTATTCGCAGGCTTGCTCGTAGGGGTGGTGTGAAGCGTATCTCTGGTCTCATCTATGAGGAGACCCGTGGTGTGTTGAAGATCTTTTTGGAGAATGTGATTCGTGACTCTGTCACCTACACTGAGCACGCCAGGAGGAAGACTGTAACTGCTATGGATGTCGTCTATGCTCTTAAGAGACAGGGAAGGACTCTCTATGGATTTGGCGGTTAAATTGGGGGTTTATGTTGGTGATATGGTGGTAAATGTAGGGATTTAGTTTACAATTGCGTATGTCTGTGTTGGATATCTGTAGTGCTGTTCTTATGGCTTAGATCTTGTAATTTCTCATTACAGTATCAATGAATAGATATCAGTTTCTAGTGATGACATTGGTTCGTCTTTTAGCTGTTGATTAATTTTTCTTAATTGATTCATCCTATTGCAATTCTTCTGAATTTAAATTGTATACTGTGAAATTAAGAAAATTCTTGAAATTAATGAGAATTTGAGTAATAGAGACGAAATGTAAGATCTAATAGAATTCAATTGTTATGCAGAGAGAAGACTAATTGCATACAAGTAATTTGAATGGACTTACTCTTCACAACAGAGTCCCATTTTCATCTATTCCAGACATCATTGTCAAATGCTTAAACTCTAGCTAGCTGGTTCTGCATTTTGATCAGCCTTTTCAGTTGGCTGTACTTGTCAACGTTTTCATTATCTTACTTGGTTAATTCATATGTTTGGATTTAGATCATACATTAGCCATTCCTTCAGCCAGCAGATCTACATCTTCATTAGCGTCTCCTTCTTGTTCATGGTTTTGCTCATTTTCGCCTCCTTGTTCATTAGCGTCTCCTTCTTGTTCATCATTTTGCTCATTTGCGCCTCCTTGTTCATTAGCGGCTCCTTCTTGTTCATCATTTTGCTCATTTACGCCTCCTTGTTCATTAGCATCTCCTCCTTGCACATTAGCAGCCTGTTCATTAATCCCTCCTTGAATTGTAAGATCAACGTTGTGTCTGCCACAAATTACTCATTTGTTAGAATATCTTACAAGTCACACCACATAAGTGTAATTTACAAATTTGTTATCAGAAACTTACAAGTCCATAAGGAATACTCCTTCTCTAATAATAATCCAAGGTTTGTCGACTGCAATCTGGAGAAATCATAAATTCTGTAAGAAAGAAATTAAAAAAAGAAGAAGGAAATTGTCCTCTGGTACTTACAACTTTCCACCCTATGAGGTTTCCACATTTAACACAGTAAGTGTCGTTCATGGTTCTGCCATCTCTTAATACTTTTTGATATCGCTTGTCCTCTGGTACTTCAACATTAAACCTGCATATATAAAGGTTTGTAATGTATGCGTATATACCTCAAGACTGCAGCAAAAATGTTTAAGCTCGTCTGCAAAACCCAATTTCCAGACATTAAACTTACACATTATCAAAGATGTATACTTCATAGCCCATCTGCAAAATATACAAGACAATGAGCAAAGTAAGTTGTTCTGTGATTAGTCAAGAATATAACAGAGTGCTGAATTCGTGATACAAATAGCTGTCGAACTTGCATATTTTCTTTATCAAATGAAGCGCAATTTTATCAGAAGAGAATTCGGAACAGTTGAGAAAAATTAATGCATATACTTGTTGCACAGATGACAAACATTTGGTATGTTAATAACAAATTGCGAAGAAATAAATCAGTGAGAGTGAGAATCCATACACTAGTACAAAGGTGATCCCTCATGAATCCAACTTGAGTTCTGCAGATACGACAATGGATGCAATGATTATCATCGTAGTGAAGTATAAAGGGCCTTCCCATTGTTGAATGAAGAACCAACTCCTAATAGATATGTTACAGAAACAAATATCACAGTTGAATTATGAATGGAAAAAAAGACTGACTGATTATGAATGTAAAGAGAAGAGAGACGATGAAAAATGAGAATTCAAGAAAGTAAAAAAATGACTGCTAATTAATACTTGTGAATATTACTTCTTGTTTCTTGAATGAATCAAGTTATATATATATCTTAACCGTTAACTGATATATTAGGATTTTTTTTTCTTTTAACTATGGGAAGTACAGGTCTTCTCATAAGTGCCTTGATTGGTTTAATTTCAGCAACAAAAAGGGAGTTATATTTACCTCTCTACTATTAAAGAAAAAAGAAGCTTTGTTTGTTCTCCGTCATACTACTTCACCCGTTAAAACTTTGTTTTCAGCTTTAAAAAATCAGATGTATCTCTTAAACAAATAATACAAGGGAATGTATTCTTTGATGGACTTGAATGTTGCACTTTGATCTTACTCAAATAATTAAGCTAAAATGTACAAGGAGTGTTTGCTCATAAGAGTCTAACACTCAAGTTCTTGTTATACTAGTATTTCATTTTATATCTCTTTCACCTTTTGTGGTTTTTGCTCAATTCAATTTTTTGTTTTCTTCCCACTGTACACAATTTTCGGAAAAGGGTAAAAAAATGTTCTTCATATATTAGAAATGGTCAAATTTGCCCATCGTTTCAACTTTTGGATCAAATATGTCCTTAGTGTATTAGAAATGGTCCTCTCAGAAGTCAAGTTTCTACTTCCTCTTCTCCTTGGTAATGTTAATGGATTCCAATTAGATTTACAAAATGAACGTTTAATCCAGACCAAGAACAGCATATGTATTTTAGATTCACTATCAAACATCTGCTCAACTTTGAAAATTTCTTCGGATCACACATTTGCAATAACATTCAGATTAATTGACAGAACTCGAAATAAGTAAATATGCTCCAAATATTGCAGATTTATAGATTTCAAATGAAACGAATACCAAGCGTTGCATATTACTACAAAATGAAAACATTGTTTTTACCTTTTCTATAACACTTGCCCCACGCAGAATCCTTAGATGCAATGAACAAAAACAGTGAAGTCTAATTCAGACAGTGTATATCTTTCCGTATTTTGATCAGCATGAGTAGGCTATCAATGTCTGCATATTCATCAATATTGTCTATTCCGTCAGCCACTAGATCGACATCTTCATTCGTTTCACTGGCCGGCCTCGATGTTGACCATGATTATGTTCATTAGCGTCTCTTTCTTGATCATTATTGCCTCCATCTTGCTCAACATTTTGATCATTAGCTCCTAAATCTTCTTTATTAGTAAACTGTTCCTTAGCATCTCCATGTTGCTCAGCATTTTGATCATTGGCACCTAAATCTTGCTCATCAGTATTCTGTTCATTAGAATATCCATGTTGTTTAGCATTTTGATCATTAGCACCTAAATGTCGTTCATAAGGAACCTGTTGATTTACGCCTTTAGCTTGATCGGCATTTTGATCATTAGCACCTAAATTTGGTTCATTAGGAACCTGTTCCTTTGCGACTCCGAAGACAGTATCACGCAACGTTTCACCACTCTGGTTTATAAGCAGCTCCCTGCCACAAAATACTCATTTGAATTAACACCTTACAAGTCATACTGCATAAATACGCACGCGCATGTACAGAGAGACTCCATTTGCAAGTTTGTAATTTAGAAACTTACAATTTCATAAAATATCTTCCTACTACAAAATACTCAGACTGTCGGGTAGTCTCAACCTGAAGAAATCATAATTTCTGTATTATATGAAATATAGAGCAACCAAATCAAATGCTTTTTAATACTAGCCAAGTTGCCAGCCAAGCCGCATTCGACATTGGACACAGTAAATATTGAGTAGGCTATTTCCCTCTAGTTGTTCTAGATAACCTTGGTGATTAATTGGTACAACAAAATGAAGCCTGCATATAATACAGAGACCTCAGGAAAAAAGCTTAGGCAAATCATACCCAATTTTCCAAAATTCTGAGACTTACAATCTATTAAAGAACCCTCCATACAGTAAGTCATCCGCCTGTACAAGACAAGAACATGAAATATATTTAACAGAATTATGGAAATTGAAGGAGGGAGAATGGCCATTACATTAGGAATAAAATCCTCGATGTATGCAACTCGTCTTTCGCATAAACAGCAAAGTATACAATCACGTATGTTGATTAGATGATCGGAAACTCCAAAACGGGACATTATATTGTGGATCAATAACAAATTTTTCTATAGGATTATTCCCAGTAAGTCTTATATGCAGACTGCAACTCCTTTTTTTTTTTTTCTATAATAAGGATATATATATATAGCTTTTGTTTTGTATTCAAACTCTATTACCGCTTCTTTTATTCTAATTTGGTATCAAGAACCAAGTGGTTAGTCTTTATAAAATAATTTTAATATTAAAATTACAATAATAATTATCCTTAATCGTAATTTGACTCTCAAAAACTCTTTTAGAAAAGATTAATCGAACACAATTTACTTATAACGTTTTTTTAGTGAATTAGCTAAACAAAATTTATTTTTTCCCAAAAATATTTTTCCAAAAAGCTATTTTTAAAAAGTGTCTGTAAAAATAAACAACCTTAATGCCAAAAAGGCTCTTAATTGGCAATATCAGAAATTAAAATTCAGGCAGTAACTAAACTAGGAAAGTTAAGTCTTTTTTTTTTCCACAAAAAGTTGAATTTGCTATTAGTATTAGTGCGGGAAAGATGTATTGACATCCCTAGATCTTCTCTCACACGGATCGAATACCCTTCTAATCGACGGTTGATATTCAGTTTCCACCATTCACGTGGATTGCCATTACTAGCCGTCGATGACCAAATAATCCCCAAATATTAGCGGCTACGATTTATGCCCCGCCACATTTCGAACCCTCCCACTGAGTATAAATACCCACCACCATCAATCTCATAGCATCATCATCAATTACGTCCACATTCAAAACCCTAGAAACTTCATCTTCTACAAATTTCTCTGTGAAAATGTCTGGCCGTGGAAAGGGAGGCAAGGGATTGGGAAAGGGAGGAGCCAAGAGGCACAGGAAGGTTCTAAGAGACAATATCCAGGGTATCACTAAGCCAGCTATTCGCAGGCTTGCTCGTAGGGGTGGTGTGAAGCGTATCTCCGGTCTGATCTATGAGGAGACCCGTGGAGTATTGAAGATCTTTTTGGAGAATGTGATTCGTGACTCTGTCACCTACACTGAGCACGCCAGGAGGAAGACTGTCACTGCGATGGATGTTGTCTATGCCCTCAAGAGACAGGGAAGGACTCTCTATGGATTTGGTGGCTAGATTGTGGAGTTTGGTGGTTGTAATGGTAGTAACTCTAGGTTTTAATTTACATAGCTTTTGTGACTGCTGTGAATTTTAATTCTCTGTAGCCTTGTTTTGGATCTTGTTCGTAAGCTCTATATTTTGTTAATATTCAAGGAATCAAGTTCACCTTTCCAGAAATTACATCGTGTATTTGCAGCTAATTACGTCTTTTCTTGATTGTGGATTTTGAATTGCATATGTTGTGTAATGAAGTTTATTTGCTGAGTTGAGCAAGAGATATGACTACATCTGAAATTTTAGTTAATTTTATCACTCATATCACATTAGGTCTTCATCATGGTTTAACTCCTGTGAAATGAATAATATAAAGCAAACAGTAAACTTGTTGCAAAACTCGAGCTTTTTTGTTTCCATCTCTGTATCTTGTGACCCTGTTCTTGGTTACTATATGCAAGCATAAATGATTTCTCATCTTGAAGTAATGATACCATTGGACTTATAGATGTATCTGGCCAAACATTATAAATCAACTAATATCTAAAAGCATCATCTTTTTTTAAATTACTTTTGGTGTGAAACAATTTGTGTTAATGAGGCTTTTGGTCTCAACAGAAGTTATAAACCAAGATCGAAAATATCAGGAGAATTCGTGTAACTAGATCAATTACTATTAGATATAGTAAAGTAAATTCACATGAGATTGTGGAAGAGAAGTTATGTGGTTATCACGATTGTCTAACACACTTGATTAAAATTTTGAGGATCGTTTCAATAAGAACATCTTGACAAAATGACATCAATTGTATATATCTACATTGCAATAGCCTCTTGAAAAAAAGGAAGAAACGAATTACATTTGTTCAATTTCACAGATTTCAGATGAAGGGGAGAAAACACGAAATCAAGATGACCTCCTTCTGTGTGGCTTTGCAAATTCCAGTAGATTAGTTGGTTTATATCTTCATTCAGATCATTGGGAGCACCTCCATCTCAATCAGTAGCATCTCCATCTTGATCAGTTGCATCATCTCCATCTCGATCAGTTGTCTCTGCATCTTGATCAGTTGAGTCTCCATCTTGATCAGCACTTTTCTCATTAGCGCCCACGTCTTGTTCTTTATTAACCTGTTCATTACCACCTCCATCTTGATCACGATTCTGTTCATTACCGCCTCCTTCACCCTGATTAGCACTTTGACAGATGAAATGCATCAAGAGATTTGTAAAATTATACTGATTAATCCCCACATCTTCATTTGTGTCTTTGTCTTGATCAACATTTTGCTCATTAGCGACCCCTTGTTCATTAGGAGCGTGTTCATTAGTGTCTCCATCTTGATCAACATTTTGCTCATTAACGTCTCCATCAGTAGCATCTCTATCTTGATCATTAGCATCCCCATCAGTTGTGTCTCCATCTTGATCAGCACTTTTCTCATTAGTGCCCACATCTTGTTCATTATGAACCTGTTCATTACCGCTTCCATCTTGATCATAATTTTGTTCATTACCGCCTCCTCCACCCTGATTAGCATTTTGACAGATGAAATGCATCAAGAGATCAGTAAAAGTATACTGATTAATCCCCACATCTTCATTTGTGTCTTTGTCTTGATCAGCATTTTGCTTATTAGCGCCCCCTTGTTCATTAGGAGCATGTTCATTAGTGTCCCCATCTTGATCAACATTTTGCTCATTAGTGTCTCCATCTTGATCAACATTTTGTTCATTGGGGTCTCCATGTTGATCTGCATTTTCCTCATTAACGCCTAAATCTTGTAGCCCATTTAAATGAAGCAACGGTACATCATTCCATAAACTAAGCTTGTCCCTGCCACAAAATACTCATCTGTATTAACCCTTACAAGTTATACCGCTTATGTGTACACTCTCAATTTGCAGATTTGTAATTAGAAACTCACAAGTTCATAAAGAATCTTCCTTCTCTAACATACATGTTCTGTCGGGTGACTGCAATCTAGAGAAATAAAAAATTTCAGTATTTTTCTTTACAAAGCAACAAAATATTCTTGTTAATATTAGTATCTTACAATTTTCCACCCGATTAACTCTCCACATCCGATACAGTTAGCATTGACTACGGTAGTTCCAAATTGTCCTAGATGAGAATTCTCGCTTTCTGGTACAAGAACATTAAACCTGCATATATAATAAAGGGATAATGCACAAATATCCCCTCAACCTATGTCCGAAATCTCAGAGACACACTCAAATTACATGAAATCATGAGACTTACAGCCCAGCAAAGATCCCTTGTGGCCACACCTGCAAAATGTACAAGAAAATGAGCATAATAAGTTGGTTCTCTGTTTATTCAAGAAACATTGAATCTAAAATATTGAAATCAGTAGCAAATAGAACAATTCAGAAGAAATAATATTCGTATCGTTACCATCCGAATATAATCGTGTACGCGTGCCACTTGATTTCTGCACTTACGACAGTGGATGCTATCATATAGTGGGATAACATCCTGGTATTCAAGTGAATAGCATCTCACCATTGTTGAATGAAGAAGCAGCAACTCAGAGATGAACAGCTCAAAATGAAAACAAGACAGAAGATGAATATATATATATATATATATATATATATTTATTTATATAAAAGTCACCTCTTGAATCTTGAATTTACCGTTAATTCTCAATCCATTTTCCCTCCAAAACTATTAAAGTCATATTTATATTTTATTTTGCATCCTTACACACATAAGATTGTACAGAGGATAAAGCCAATAATGTTCCTTTTTCCCCCTCTACTTACTTAAATTAAAATTAAGAAGTAACTGGTAAAATCAGAGAAAGATATTAATGAAGGAGTGAAGTGTAAACAGAGGTATTGGTATATATATACCTATTTAATTTATTATCGAGTTCGGTTAACCCATTAATAAAAAACTTCAAACCGTTAAGAACCGATAATTCGATAATAAAAAAATCAAAACCGTAATCGAATTCGCTAAACCAATAACCCAATACTAATAAAGCAATAACTTTTTTCGATTCAGATTATCGATTTCGATTCGATTTTGAACAGCTCTACAACGAAGTAACTTTTTATTCGTATGACCGAGTTTCAAATGAAAAGTAAAGGTAAATATTAAATCGTTTGAGATATTAGCTTATCAATGTCTAGGATAACTTATGAATGACTTTTGAAATATTAATTCATTTTTTTGAGATAACTTGGTTGGAAACAAGTTATCCCATGATAAGTTATCCTGGGTTAGCTATCTTAGATAACTAATCCCACCATGTATATGAGATAACTTATTAATACCACCAAATGAAAGGTATTAGTTACCTACTATAATACTATACATAACTACTTCAACACTACACGTATAGACGCGAACCTCCCTCGTTACCGTACGTGCGACTCTCACCGCATACGGCTCGCACAAAGACTCCAAAATCCATCCCGAGCCCTTTCTTCCACCTCTCCTCTCCAATCCTCGATCAAACTTGCGTTCCCCAGGCGCTATGAAATGGGGGTCTTTCCATGTTGCATCGGATCTAGAGATCTGTTGGCAGTTCCGATAGAAGGAAAGGAGTAAGGTTTAGGCTTTACCCAATAGTTGTTGAACCCGAGGTTGGTAATAAACTGAAGCTGCTCAGTCTTCTAGCATAGCGGAGTGAGATATATCGAAGAATGAACTTAGCCTTCAACCACAAATGGGGTCCTTTAGGCAGCCGATTGCCCGTTTGCTTCCACTGGCTTACGTCGTGAGGCTTGGCACAGGAACTCTTCTCTCACCCGCTGGAAGGAAGTGATGTGACCCTGGTAGGATGAATTGAATTAGCTAACGAATCTTCCGTAATGCTTGCAAAGCTCGATTGAAATCCCCGCAAATGGTATTTTCCGTCGAAATAGACACGGGCCTGGTGAAATGCAAAACTACGACGAGGAATTCACATGGATTTAGGAAAGGCCTGCTGTATTTGTGTACAAGCTAAGGTTTTTTGAAAAATGAATATCTTTGGTCACTTTCATTGTCAAATAGGCTTTTCCTTCGTCTTTTTTTGAGGGTACTCCCGGGAATAGATCCAGTGGAGACGGGGTGGGGGAAACATTGAATTCGCCAATTTGCGAACTTTTCTTTGATTCTTGACACATGTCATGCTGGATTTGAAGAAATAGAAATGAACAAGCCTGTTTGTTTATGAATCCTCTGTTCATGAATCGGATGTGCGATGGGACCCACCATATGGAATGTATAACATCCTATACTACTATGTAAATTTATACAAATAATTTCTAAAGTATTTTCTATTAGCAAGGTTTCGTGGTGTAGTTGGTTATCACGTCAGTCTAACACACTGAAGGTCTCCGGTTCGAGTCCGGGCGAAGCCATTTTTTATTTTCCTTAATGATTATATGTATACACAATCACAAAACAGAAAAGGAAAACAGAGTATCACACAATTATGGGTTCTTTCCTTGAGCAGGTCCTTGTGTTAGTGAGATCAGCTTAAAATAACACTTGTCCATTTCCACAAATGTGATTGCTTCGTCCACAATATATACTAGTTATATATACTAGTAGCATTTACTATTAAACAAAATCTAAAGGAAATAAGTAATCCATTAGTAACTTTTATCCAGTCGATTATTTTAAATGCTTGTATCAAGAAATGAAAAACTGAGCACCATACACCTGAGCTCAAACATGTAAAAAGTTCAGTGTCAATTGGTTTGTTTATTCCAACCTGAAGTAAAATACGAATATGTAGTGCAATCTCAAAACAGAATATTACTCAACTATGAATTATAGTATTTTGTATAAGCAGAATATCAGAATGAGTAGCCTATCAATGTCTGCATTTTCATCTATTCCATCAGCCAGTTGATCTATATCTTTGGTCGTTTCATTGGCGGGCCTCCATCTTGATCACGATGCTGTTCATTAGCGCCTCCATCTTGATCAACATTTTGATCAGTATTCTGTTCTTCATCTGTACCTCCGTCTTGATCGTTAGGAGCCTGTGCATTATTGCCTACAAAGGGAAAATTAGGTGACATTTCATCGTTCCAGAACTTAAGCTCCTTCCTGCCACAAAATACACATTTGAATGAACACCTTACAAGTCAAACCACATATATATATATATATATATATATACATGTACAGACGGTCTCAATCTGAAAATTTGTAATTAGAAACTTACAGTATCATATAGAATCCTCCTACTCTATGACTCCAAGATGGTTGGGAGGTTGCAATCTGGAGAAATCATAATCATAAATTCTGTAATTTAAGAGGAAAAAAAAACAAGAGCAACAAAATCGTCATGAAACTGAATAATCTTTACTATTACTAGTATCTTACAAGTTTCCACCCGAGCAGGGTTTTACATTGAGCACAGTAAGTCTCGGCTAGTTTCATGCCATCTTCTACTGGATGATATCGCTCATCCTTTGTTACTTCAACATTAAGCCTACATATATGGCTCATTAGGCAATAAATAAAATCTCAAGATGTTGAAATTGCGAGAGACTTACACTCTAGGAAAGAACTTTGCATTCACTAAGTCGTCTACCTGCAATATTTGCAACACAAGAAATAAGTTGATTCTGAGCTTCGTCAAGAAATATAACAGAATAGAGCGGAATTCATGATACAAATAGCTATAGAAATTACATGTTTTCATCAAAAGATACCACATACTGAGCGAATAGCACAATTCAGAAGAAATTAATTGAAACTTTGGACTATTAAAGAACCACAAATCAATAACAAGAAATCATAAAGAGTGAGAAAATCATACAGAGCGATCGTAATCGTCAACAAGTGCAACTGCAGTTCCGCAGCTACGACAGTAGAAGTAAGCAGACATGTTTCACCTATTATGTAAGAGCTGGAAAAATCAATGGAAAGAAGAGACTAACTTCTCACCAGGGAGAAAAGATCAATGAGAATCCAAGAAAACAAATAATGGGTGGGAATTATAACAGAAAAATCAGTTCTTGATTCTGTTATGAAATGGCTTCACCAGCTCTGTTCTATAATCGCTCAAACTTTTTTCAAAAAATCTATTTATTATTTTCCCCCTGATTTTACAGTTTCTACTTCCTTTTTTGTTTCTTGTGTGAATTTCAATGGAAAAAACTTATACTGGTGCTACAACTTCACTATTTTAGAAGGCAGGATCCTTTTGTTGAGACTTGCTGTGGTGAAGGCAAACTCTACTACAAATTCATGTTTTTTAAACCTACAGTGTTTGTATTAGTTTTTAGGCAGCGATAAACTTCATCCTCTCAATCAGCAACTCATCCCTCTTGAGTTCGTTTCCACAGTTTGAAACATGTCTGTTATTAGCGCCTTCAGTTGGACAAGTAATCAAGGTGTAGTTGGTTATCACATATAATTATTTTTCTTTCACAGTATTTGTGGTTTCTTGTCTTTAATATCAAAGTATAACATCCTATACCAGTATGTACTTACTATAATAACAAATATAAAATATGGATCCTAAGAACAAGGTTTCGTGGTGTAGTTGGTTATCACGTCAGTCTAACACACTGAAGGTCTCCGGGTCGAGTCCGGGCGAAGCCATTCTTTTAATTTTAATTTTCTTTTTTGAAAGTCTTCCCTAACTGCCAAAACTGTAGTGAGTTGAGAAGCTGACAAACAAGACAACAGGATTTACATTTGCATGTGCATTAAACAATTGAACAGCAGAAATCCAAATTAGTATCTCAAATTGGTTTATTCCAACCTGAAGGAAGTACTATGCTGCAGTGCAATCTCAAAATTTAAATGGAAAACAGAATATCACACAATTATGAATTATAGCATTTTCTATAGCAGAATATCAGCATGAGTCGGCTATCAATATTATCTATTCCATCAGCCACTTGATCTATATCTTCGGTCGTTTCATTGGCGGGCCTCCATCTTGACCAACATTTCTCTCGCTACTGCTTCCATGTTCATCAGCATTTTGCTCATTACCGCCTCCATCTTGACAAACATTTTGCTCATTACTGCCTCCATGTTGATCAACATTTTTCTCATTTACGCCTCCATCTAGATCAAAATTTCGCTCATCAGCACCTCCATCTTGATCAAAATTTTGCTCATTAACGCCTCCATCTTGATCATAATTTGGCTCATTATCACCTCCATCTTGATCAAAATTTTGGTCATTAACGCCTCCATCTTCATCAAAATTTTGCTCATTATCACCTCCATCTTGATCAAAATTTTGCTCATTAACGCCTCCATCTTCATCAAAATTTAGCTCATTAGCGTCTCCATCTTGATCAAAAAATAGCTCATTAACGCCTCCATCTTGATCAAAATTTTGCTCATTATCACCTCCATCTTGATAAAAATTTTGCTCATTAACGCCTCCATCTTGATCAAAATTTAGCTCATTAAAGCCTCCATCTTGATCAAAATTTGGCTCATTATCACCTCCATCTTGATCAAAATTTTGCTCATTAGCACCCACTTCCGGTTCAGTAGAGTCTTCATATTGCTCAGTTGTGCTTCCATCTTGATCAAGATTTCTCTCATTAGCACCCAGTTCTTCTTCAGTAGAGTCTCCATATCCCTCAGTTCTGTCTCTATATTTATCATGATTCATTTCATGAAGCCATTTCCTGCCACAAAATACTCATTTGAATTAACACCTTACAAGTCATACCACATGTGCAGACGTCTCAATTAGAAACTTACACTCTCATATAGAATCCTCCTACTTTATGACTATCAGACAGATCGGAGACTGCAATCTGAAGAAATCATATATTCAGAGGAAGAAAAAAAAAGCAAGAAAATCATCTTGTTATCATGAAACTCAAATGATCTTACAACTCTCCACCCGAGCGGGGTTCTACATTTGCCACAGAAAGTCGTGGCTAGGTTCATGCCATTTAATACTGGATTATATTGCTCGTCCTCTGCTACTTCAACATTAAACCTGCGCCATATGACTCATTAGGCGATAAGTAAAATCTCAAGATGTTGAAATTGCACGAAACTTACACTTTAGTAAAGAACCTTGAATTCTCTATGTCGTCTCCCTGCAATGTTTACAACAGAAGAAATAGAACAATTCATGATACAAATCAGAAGAAATTAATTGAAAAATTGGAGTATCAAATCATACAGGGTGAGCGTAATCCTGGACGAATGCAATTCGAGCTCCGCAGCCACCACAGTAGAAGTAAGCAGACATGTTTCACCTATTATGTATGAGCTGGAAAAATCAATGGGAAGAAGGGGACTAACTCCTCACCAGGGATAAAAGATCAATGAGAATCCAAGAAAATAAAAAGTTAGAACAGAAAAATCAGTTCTTGATTCTTGAATACTACTAGTTGAGAAGAGCTCTGTTTTGAAATCGCTCTGTAATGGTTAAAACTAAAAACTTATCAGAGTATTAATGCGGAATGATAGTATTATCTAATATATATGTATCAGTGATGCGTTAGTATTAATTTCTCTCCAGGCACAAGTTTTCGGATTCGTATAATATAATTTGTATAACTGTTTAAAGTTTATAGGTTTATTTTTTATCAATTTGTTATTTCGAATTTTATCTTATTTGTATAATTTCAGACTTTGTAATACTTAATTATACAAAAGCATATGAATTATACAAACGTACTTGATGCGAATTAAACAAATTATTGTCCTCTCCCTCATCCATCTCACAATCTCGCTTGCCAGATATACAAATACATACGTATAATAATTACATGTATACAATTATTTAACAGATATACATATAAAATTTGCCTCTCTCAATCTCGCTCGTCGCTCTCCTCTCATATAACATATAACATATAACTATGAGTCATAATTAACATAGAACATAATTAAACTATTTTTCAGTGGCTATATACGAAAGTTCCCCAATTGAATTTATGTCTTATAAGGTGTAACATGTGCCTAGTAAATTATGTTTACCTCATATTTTATGTTTAATTGGAGTAATATTTGACAGAAATTAAAACTCTCAAATAATAATAAAAAACTAATATTTAAGCCAAAATTTTATTATTTGGAATCTTTTAGAAATAAGACACACTCTACTATTCTTTGGACCACAATCTTGTTGAAATACTCCAAACACCCCGAGAAATAAGGTAATTTATATAAATCACTAGATTAGAAGCTAATTATTATGAATTTTAGTGCACCCATCAAGATATATGTATCTCAAGATACATAAGGTCAAAATTATGTGTGATTTATTCTATACACATTGAAACAAAATAAAATCCTACTCAACCTAAGGGTTTTATTCCTATTCTTCAAAATCAAACATTTGTATATATCTCATACTAATTAGCAGTGAAAACAAAGACAATTGCACAGTAGTTGCAGTGACTTTCAACTACTGTAAAATGAATTAATACTCAAACATGTAAAATGAATAGACAGTTATGAATTAATACTCGTATAATATCAACTCTATCGTAAATCTCCAGCGCGAGTGGGCTATCTGCATTTTCATCAATACTTGATTCAAATATTTGCATTTAGATCAAATATTGCCCCCATTCCATCTTGATCAGTATTTTTCTCATTAGAGCCTAAATCTTGCTCATTAGCGTCTCCATCGATCTTGATCAGCATTTTGCTCATTAGCGCCTCCATTTTGATCATGATCCTGTTCTTCATCTGCACCTCCATCTTGATCATTATTGCCTCCAACGAGTAAATCAGACGACGTTACATTGTTATTGCTAATAAATGTGTTCCTGCCACAAAATACTCATTTGAATTAACACCTTACAAGTCATACCATAGATATACATGTACATACGCTATAATCAGTACAATCTGCAAATTCGTAATTAGAAACTTACAATCTCATAACAAATTCTCCTACGCTATAAACACTAGACGGTTGGGAGACTGCAATCTGGAGAAATCACAAGTTCAGTAATTTAACAAATCCGTCTTGAAACTGAAATGATCTTTAATAAATACTAGTATCTTACAATTTTCCACCCTAGCAGGTTTCTACATCGGACACAGAAAATCTCGGCTACGGTCATGCCATCTATTACTCGATAATGTCGCTCGTCATCTACTACTGCAATCCTTAACCTAGAAAGAATCGGTAGAGTCTGAGTGTTAGCATGGAGAGTTGCAACTTGAGTTGCGCAATGACGACAGTAGAAGTTACGAACAGAAGGGATATGATTGTATTCAGGCAAATTCTGTCTCAGCATAAATTGTTGAATCAAGAACCAAATCCTAATAGACATGATTCACCTATTAAAGAATAAAAAACTAAAAGCTGGAAAAGAGTTGATAATCAATGAGAATCCAAGAAAAAGAAAAATATAGCAGAAGAGAAATGCCCAAAACTGAATTTATATTCTTGTTAAGAAGAGCTCTGTTTTTATATCAGGGATAAATTTTATTTTATTTTTCCCTTTTACGAAATTATAATTTTTTCTTACCCTCCAAAACTATTTTCTCCATCTAAAAAAATATTATCCTTATATTAAGAAATACTTCCATCAGCTCTTAAAAGGGTTATTAAGAGAGTGCTTCCTCACCGGCTCAAATGATTGGTTGATTATTTTTTAGACAATTTATTCATCATTTTCGTTAAATATTTTTTTTCTTCATATTAATTCATTAATTCACGGATCATTAATTAATTAACTCGGGAAATTAATTTAGAATTTGCAGAAAATATATGGAAAGGATGTGTTTTGTGATTCCCCAAACTTAAAATTAGAAGTTACAATTCAGTAAAGCACAAGAAATATGTTTAGGTATATATGTAAGCAGACCTTACCAACAAGTGACGCATTTTAAAGACGTGCTAGTCTATTGCATGTTCTGAACAGGTGAATTCACGCCTATTTAATTCATATCGTTGGCAATAACTCAAGTGAATTCACGCCTATTTAATTCATATCGTTGGCAATAAATAGAAAGGGTTATCTAGGTTTTCAACATCAAATTATTTAATCCATATCGTTGGCTATAAATAGAAATGGCTATTTAGCTTTTCAACATTAAATTTTCTTTTTCTTTTGCATATATATGTTGAAGATGACATAGTTGATAATTGAAACATGTCAATATGTAGGGAGTGTTTGGTATGGAGGTTAATGTTTTCCATGGAAAATGTTTTCCTAGAAAACAAGTAGATTTTGAACTGATTTTCTCATGTTCGGTTGGTAGTAGAAATATTTTTCAAAAATGATTTTTAGTGTTTCATTATGAATGAAAAATATTTTTGAGAGACATTTTTTATTTTTACTAGAGTAAAAATAATTTATAAAATTGAAAATATTTTTTTAAAACAAAATTATTATTTTTTTGGAGTGGTGGGGGGAGGGGGTGGGTGCGTGGGGGCAAGGGAGGGGATAGGAGTGAAAAAATAAAAAATTGAAGTTGATGGTAGTTTTAAAAAATAAAATTAATTTTTTTGGAGTTTGGGGGTGGGGGTGGGGGTGGGGGTGGGGGGGAGGTAGGAGTTTAGGATCGGGTGGGATTGAGGGGTGGCCGGTGGCGACTGGGAGTGGGTCTAGGATCGGGTGGAAAAAATAAAATTTTGAAACAGAAAATATTTTTTAAAAAATTGATGTTTTCCAAAAAAAATGTAATTTGAAATTGGAGGAGAAGTTTGGAAAATATTTTTCTTAATTTTTGAAGGGAAGTCATTTTCCTTAATTTTGAGGAAAATGAGTTGATTTGAAAAACATTTTTCAAAACTTTTGTCTTAACCAAACATGAAAAAATTGAAAAACATTTTTTAGAAAATGTTTTCCTTCATACCAAACACACTTATAGTGTAATCCAAAATTGAAAAAGAAAGCAGAATATCACACTATATATAAGAACAACAATTGTGCATATCTGTAAGAATAATCATTTCTAATGTAACAGTAATCAACTTCTCAATTATATTAACAAGACTAGAGTTCAATTATAAGTCCACAACATAAATGCACTAAAGCAAACAACATAAACCTTTCCTTTTTTGGCAACACTTTAACTTTTACTTTCCACGTGACATGTTTAAGACCACAAGATTAAATGTCATTTTGGTACATTTAACATAACTTTAATTTAGAACCACAAAATTAAAATGTCTCTTTCTTTTCTTAAACTCTTATTTCAAGTCAAACTAGGTCATCTTTTTTGAAACGGAGGGAGTAATAGAAATACTAAACATAAGAACTAGGTAATTGATAAATTGCAAGAGGGAGATGAGAAGCTTAGACTCTAGAGTTGGGGATGAGAACACAAAAATGTCTTTGCACATAATTCATTTGATGCCCTCGGATAGTGATGCTCTAATCTATTTAACTACGATAAACGTACCCTCAGTCTGAATTTCAAATTATCCTTTGTGAAGGCTTGACCTTATTGCTTTTGTTGAGCCTACTTGGTCCAATTATCTATTTGTGTGATATCCTTATTGGGCTGGGACTGATTCATAACCATATCTACATTGCAACCTGAAGTATTTCCATGTCCATACTACTATTTTGATGAATATAAGTACCTAAATAGAAAGTGCTCGACATAAAATGATTTTATTGGTGCACTATCAGAAAGGTTTAACATCTTTTCTTTCTCAGAATAATAATTAAGATTATATATGTCTTATAAGAAATAGAAAATAAAATTATTCTTTATGTAACAAAGAATACACAATTCAATGCAACAATAACAATGGAAATGCAACTCAATTACAAGAATCAATAACACAAACAAATTTCTATATTACAAATGAAACAAATTCTTTTAATCAGTCGATTATACTCAAATGCTTGACAGATGACTTGTATGAAGAAAAAATTAAAGAGAAACTAAGCAGCATATACAGAACGGAAGTACCCCAGCTCTAATATGTCTGTAAAATGTTCACTCTCAATTGCTTTTCAAAGTAGTAATAATATGTACTTTAATCCCAAAACCAAAAAAGGAAGCTGAATATCACACAGTTATGAACTCTAGTGACTGCACTCACTGCAAGTGTATATCATCAGCTATTGATGTCTGCACTCAGTTCAAATGTTTGGATTTCGATCACTATGCCCATTAGAAACTACGAGTTGATCACCCCCTCCATCTTGATTATCAGCATTATTAGCGCCTCCATCTTGATTATTAGCGCCTCCATCTTGATTATCAGCATTATTAGCGACTCCATCTTGATTATTAGCGCCTCCATCTTGATTATCAGCATTTTCCTCATTATTAGCACCTCCAGCTTGATCAACATTGTCCTCATTAGGGCCTCCACCTAGTTCATAAGGATCTAAGAGTTGACCATTAGTGTAATTAAGCTTATCCCTGCCACAAAAATTATTATTAGTATTAGTAACACCTTACACAGCATATCGGATATGTGTAGTCTCATTTTCTCAATTAAACTTACAACATCATCAAGAATTGACCTGCTTCATAAGGACTGCCTTGGGCGACTGCGATCTGGCGAAAAGGAAAAATTATTTATAACCAACAACAACAAAAAAAAGGGAAATGCAAATCCTCTGGTACTAATATCTTACAAATTTCCACCCGAGCCGGTCCCTACAGTTGACACACAAAGTATCGACTACGGTGTTGCCATTTAGTACTTGATGATATGACTCATCATTCTCTGGTACTACAACGTTAAACCTGCATATATACACATATCAGACTGCAGATTATTTAAAAATAGCTATCGTGAAATCGCGAGACTTACATATCAGTAAAGATCCCTTGTAGCACGAAGGTTAGCTCCTGCAAAGAGGAAAATAACAGAGTAGTGCTTATTCAAATCAGTAGCAAAGAATAATTCAAGAAAGATCAAAATAGAATCCATATATACCTCATCAATTTCAACGTAATCTTGGACTAATGCAACTCGAGTTCCGCATCTGCAATGGAAGTAATCAGAAGAAGGCATTCTGAGTATCAAATAGAAAAGTTGAGAGAAAGGAATGTTGATTTTTTTCAATCCTGATCGAGGAGACGGAAATATATAGAATAAAATACCGTTGCGTTTCTTTTTCTCACTGGTAAATACAGTTGTATTTCAGTTTTGTAGAACAAAAAGAGCAACTGTATTTCAACAAATCGCAATTTTCATCTCCCCATTTAGTAATGCATGAAAAATGGATGCTAATCTCATTATGACATCCGAGATAATATCTCAAATAGTTAATTAATTACGGATAACTTTCTCAAAAGTCACTCAACTATGAGTCATAATTTATGACTAGTTTTCTCATTAAGTTACTTAATTTTGCTATAACTTAAAATCACTTAACTATTGATATTTCACGTAGAACTCTACGCCACCCCACCAATTTACATAATTTTTTCATTAAATTTTATTTTAAGCTAAATTCTTAAGGAAAAAAAAGTTCTCGTAATGTTTTTATTGACATTGTCCCACTAAAATTAAGTAATATATATAATATAACAAAATTTAACATTATAGTTAGTAAAACAAAATTATATCTGAAGTACCAATATAAATTATAAATGGAGTACAAAAACAAACAAGTCAAATAATGTATTTTATATAAGAAAATTAGCTTATAATTGGGTATCAATTAATTATGTCAACGTTTGAATACAATAACGACGGTTGCGGAATTTCTAATTATATATAGGAGTAAAATTAGAGTAGCAAATTACTACTATGTCAGTGTGGCTTTGATTGATTGACACGTGTGACTTTATTTATTTAATGGTTCTGATTCATTTTGTTAACTACTATCTCCGTCTGGTATTATTTGTTATGATTTTTATTTTTAAAGTCAAACTATAAAAATTTTGACTAATATTTTAAGATATATTTTTTTATCATATTAATATGTAAAAAATTGTAATTTATAGTACTTTTCATATAATTTTAGAATATCTAATTTTTTCGTTTAAAATATCGAATTAATGTGATTCAATTTACCTTTAAAAAATAATCAAATTAACTTTCGATAAGTGTAACATGACAAATAATTGTTAACCAAGGTTAACAATTCATTGCTTCTTACAAGATGAAATAATCAAAATCCAAAATTTCATAGAAAAATCCAGGATGCTATGATGATGATAAAACTTCAAATTTTGCAGCAAAAAGTAAACACCATTTTTATTTTCTACGCCCGTGAAACCCAAATTGAAAATAATTTTGCCTATTCAAAGAAGATAACAAACTTCTTTAGCCTTCATATTGATCAGCATTTTCCTCATTATTAGCGCCTCCATCTTTATCAAGAAATTGCTCATTAGCGCCTCCATCTTTATCAACATTTTGCTCATTAGCTCCTCCATCTTTATCATGATTCTGTTCCTTATCGCCTCCATGTTGATCAACATTTTGCTCATTAGCTCCTACAACTTGATTAACAATTTGCTCATTGAGGTATCCATCTTGATCACGACGGAGGAGATGCCTCAAGTAATTACAAATATCATTATCTAGGCCTCCATCTTGATCAATATTAGTGCTCATTTCTTCTCCAGTAGAGTCTCCATATCCCTCAGCGCGGACTTTTTGTTGCTCGATTGTATGAATCATCGTTTCATTATTTGAAAAACTAAGCTGGTCCCTGCAACAAAATACCCATTTGTGTTAACCATACCGTTTATGTGTACACTCTCAATCTGAAATTTTGTAATTAGAAACTTACAATCTCATAATGAATCTTCTTTCTTTAATATACCTGGACGGCCAGGTGACTGCAATCTGGAGAAATAAAAAATTCAGTATGTTTTTTTTTTTCTTTTTCAAAAGCAACAGAATCTAATCTTTAATATAAGTATCTTACAATTTTCCATCCGATCATCTTATCACATAGTCTACAGTGAGTTCTGGCTACTGTAGTTCCAAAAGGATTCTTCACGGTGTTTGCTACACGAACATTAATCCTGCATATATATAAATGAGGCTTAGACAGTAGATGAAAGTGTATACATATATATCTGGAGGTACGTTGCTCATACTTACAGCCGATCAAAGAGCCCTAGTCCTCCTGATAGAGTCTGCAAAATGTAAAAGACAAGAAAATGAATTTGTTGAAATAATTTTTCCTAAATCGAAGAAATTATATTCGAATTGTTACCTTCTGAATATAATTTCTGAAGGATGCAACTTGCCTTCTGCACCCAATAGTATGACAGTGGATGGTATCATTAGGAGGGATCGCATGAGTGTTGTGTTCAAGTGAATAGTATCTACTCATTGTAGAATGAATTAAGAAACAGAGACGAAAAATGCAGAACAAGTGAATTTTATGGAAATGCACCACAGAGAATGTTGATATATTTATATATATATAGAAAAATCACTTCTTGATTCTTGAATTTACCGTTAATTTTCAATCTATTTAATTTAATTACCCTCCAAAACTATTTCCATTTTAATTTCTCATACCAGATTATATATTACAAATTACAAATATGACTTGGACCTTATTTGACTGAATGCTTTTTTAAAAAATAGCTTTTGAAAAAAAGCAATTTGTGTTTGACTTATTCATTTGAAGGTGCTTTGATAAATAATCTGTGTTAAACTAATTTTTAAAAAAAAAAACGTTTTTGAGAGTCAAATTACGAGAAAAGGCAAGTATCAATCTGGCTGGTTCGAGTCTACAGAGCCTAGGCCGCGAGGTACAGATTTGATTCAGGAGGCTTTGGAGCAGGTGAGAGTGATTCAGGATAGACTCAGGACAGCTCAGAGTAGGCACCAGAGTTATGCGAATCGGAGGCGTCGACCTTTGAGATTCTCTGTTGGTGATCGGGTATTTCTCCGTGTGTCGCCCATGAAGGGTGTGATGAGATTTGGAAGACGGGGTAAGCTTAGCCCCAGGTATATTGGGCCTTTTGAGATACTTCGGACAGTTGGGGAGGTTGCTTATGAGTTGGCCCTACCTCCAGCATTTTCAGCCATCCATCCAGTTTTCCATGTCCCGATGCTACGCCGATATATTCCTGATGAGTCCCATGTGCTCCAGTATGATGCAATTGAGTTGGATGATCATTTGACATTTGTAGAAGAGCCAGTTGCCATCCTAGCCAGAGATGTGAGGAAATTGCGCTCGAGAGCCATTCGTATTGTTAAGGTCCGTTGGAGGCATTCAGTCGAGGAGGCTACCTGGGAGACCGAGAAGGAGATGCGAGAGCAGTTTCCCGGCTTGTTTGAGCCTTTAGGTACTTCTTAACCCTTACTTTCGCGGACGAAAGTTCTTTTTAGTAGTGGATATTGTAATGACCCTTATTGTCATTTTTAGTGTTTTATCTTCTGTACATCGTTTAGAGCGTTCCTATAGCGATTCCAAGTTATTTATGACTTGCTGGGACTGACAGATCGGTCACTTGGTCATTCGTTTGGTTATTGTGTGAGTTTTAGTATTTTTGGAGCTTATGAACCTTGAACGATCATTTTCGATCAAAAGTTCAAGAAGATGACATCAGAATCTAATTCTGACGATTCCATCAGTTCCGGAAGGGTCATCTTAGTCTAGTAGCATTGTCGACATGACTCCCAAAGTTTTCAGAGTGAGTTGGTGGGATTAGGCGTTTTAACTTTAAGTTTAAAGGCTAAGTTTGACTTTAGTCATCATTCTGAGTAAACGCGCTCGGATGAGAATTCCGTCAGCGGTTAGCTCCAGAATGTCGAGTTTGGTCTAGTTTGACCCTTCTTTCGGGTTTTGAGGTTTTTGATATTTTTTCGAGCCCTTTTGTGGTTTTTGACTTAAAATGGCCAATGGAAGTGGGATCCATATTTTATCGAGATGACCTCTGATGAAAATTTCGACTGCGCCTTTGAGTCCGGAATGTCGACTTTGGTAGGGTAGCATATCTATTTTATTTTTATCAGGTTCCGAACGAATTTCGAGCACCCGTCGGAGACTTTAAAGAAAGTAGGCAAAGCTGAATCTGGTGCAGCCCCTTTAAAAACCCAACTTTCAGCTTTGTGTCTTACTTTGGAATCTTGATATCTTGAGCTATACAACTCCAAATTGGACGATTCAAAAGGCTAAGTTGTGAGATTTTTCGAGGGCAACGCATTGGTGAGCTTGGAATCTGATTTGGGGACCCTATTTGAGGTAAATTTTGGGTTTTAACTGCTGTCATAGCTCATTTTCGAGCACAAGTTTTGGGAAATTTTAGAAGGTGATTTCTTGACCATTTTAGGTCCGAATCAAGTGATTCAAGAGCCTATTAATTGTGGGGGTTTTCGTGAGGATCATTGTGGTGTGGTTGGTTTTGGCGGTTGGAGCTTCATTTTTGGTAAAATCTTGTAAGTAGCTGCTGCCATAGTTGCTGATTTTTAGCTTAGAATTTGGGTTCTTTTGTTGCATGTTCATGTTGGGACTGTTTTGAGTCCTGAATTGTGCTCCATTCTGGTATACAAGCTTCGAGAGTTATTTAGGACTTTTATTTGGGGTTAATTCGGGATTTCTCAACGCGGATCTCACTTTTTCCATTTTGACCGTGAAATTGACCCGTCTCCGTTTCTTGCGATTTTAGTGTTTAAATGACTGTAATAACTTTGTGACTCTATTTCTGATAGTGTATCAACGTTTTGATGCCTTTTAGAAAGTAAAAGATCCGGGGAGTGAATTTTGGAGCGCGCGTGATCTGCGTTCAGGTAGGCTATGATTTCTCTTCTTAGATTGAACTCGAACATGTGAATGCATGTTGATTAGTTGGGATTTGGGTTGGGTAGTTATTGGATCATGCATAGGTGTTACAAATCATATTTTTGCCTTTTTTTCTGAGAATTATCGGGTAACTGTGAGCATGTTTATTGTTATTAATTGACCTTCTTTGCTATATGAATTACTTGTATGTTTGAATTCTGGTTGTCAGAAGTATGTTGGGCCTTAGTTTAGGTTTGACTAGGGTTTTCCTTAGAAATGCATGATTCAAAGTCGGTAGGACTTAGTTTAGCCACGACGTCGCTCGGCCGGCTTAAATCCTTGTAGACTGATGTAGCAGACTTGAGCTGATAGTTGGGTATTTAGAAAGACGATGAGCTTGCTCTAGTGATAGTTACTCTTATTTCTTCGATGTTACGGCTTCTCGAGTTACGTCAGTGACAATGATTTCCGCTCCGTGATTCAAAGTTGAGTTTCTATTCGACTTTAAGGTCTTACATTGATCAGCTAAGTCTGGATGGTGTTCCATGGGTTTATATGATTATGGATAGATAAAGACTCTTTCAGCAGCTATATCGACATCTTTGTCGGGTATCCGGATTTAAGGTCCGGCCTCGAACATCCACATACTTATGTAGAGCATCCGGTAAGAGGTCCGGCCTCAAGTATGTAGAGCATCCGGTTAGAGGTCCGGCCTCAGTTACTTATATTTTGCAATTGGCTACTTGTGTAATTCTGGTGAGTGTCCGGTTCAAGGCCCGACCTCCGTACCGTCAGATTTTACTTTTTGGTTCGGTGTTCTTTGGCCTCAAGTTTTATTCTCCTTAAGTTATAGTTATTTTGTGTACTCGTCGGGCTTATGGGGGTCCGTTCGGGTTTTTATTTAAACTTGTGCACGAGTGTACCTTCTGGGCTTATGGTGGATCCACTTAGGTGTAGTTAGCTTATTTATATTAATTTAGTTAGATCTTTATACACTCGTGTGCATTATTGTGTTACTTAGCCTTCTGTTCTTGACCTCTAGTTTTGTGATTCCGTCTTTTCATAGTGCTTTACTTTTCTAGTTCAGTCGGCCTATGATGCCTACTGGGTACCTGTTATTTGGTACTCATGCTACGCTCTGCATCTATTTTCATGATGCAGGTCCGAGCACCGGTAGTCAGCGTTGATCGAGTTTGGAGAATTTCTGGTCTGGAGACAGGGGTGAGCACACAACGTTTTGTACTATTTCAGTCTCCATCTGTTTATATAAAGACTTGTCTTTTACTTTTCGAGACAGTCTAGTTTCGGTGGTCCACTGTTGGGATTTGTACTCGTTTTGTTGGTAGCTCTGTATTAGTGACTTCCAGGTTCTGGGAGGGATCCTTTATTGTATTTATGTTTTGGTTTGCTTATGATGTTGTTATAGTAAATTTTCTTAGTCTTGTTTAATTTCCTAGTTTTGGTAATGTTAAGACTATTTTATAGAAAAACTATTTTAAACCTCTAATACAAAAACTTTTATTACCTTTTTAATTTAATTAATTAAAATATACATATTCAAATCTTCAATCATTATTATACACAAATAAATATTGTTGAAAAATATTGAAAAGAAGAATATTTTTTGTTATTTGTTACCTATTCTCTTTGTTTCAATCTTAGCTATTATGTTTTTTTGTTATAGTACTCTAAAGTTTTACAAAGTTAGAATTAAAATAAAATAATACGTTAACTTAACAAAAGAAAAATTTGTCATTCCTTGCTTTTTTGGGAAGGTCTGAAATCTGAATCTTTAGTTGTTACATTTTTTTCTCTTTTTCTAATCCTGAAAAATGTATTGTTGTTACTTTTATTTTTAATTGTGTAAAATAATACGTAAATGACATATGCAATATAAAATATTAATAATAATATAAAAATATAAATAAAATAAAAAATTCATTATATAAAAATAAAATATAAAATTCATGAATGAAAATTAAACAAAGTTATGAAATATGTTAATTAGTTAATAAGAGAGATATTGATAAATATATATATATATATATATGTTAATTAGTTAATAAGAGAGATATTGATAAATATATATATATATATGTAAGGAATATTTTAATCTTAAAAATAATAACTCTGTTTTTTTTTCACTGGGTAGAGAATAAATACGGTTGCGTTTCTTGCTTCTTTTTCTTTTTACTCACTCTAAAATACAGTTGTATTTCAGTTTTGCATAACAAAAAGAGCAACTGTATTTCAACAAATCTCAATTTTGATCTCAAAAATTATTCCCCATTTATTAATGTATGAAAAATGGATGCCATCAAAAAATTATTTATATTGATTAAGTGATTTTTTAAGATAACTATGACTTTTAACTGGTAGATTATAATGAATTGCTTAAATAGTTGACACGTGACTTGAATATAGAGAATGGTAGATCTTACAAGTAAGTTTTCAGACTCCAAAATGAGTTTACATTAATATGTACTGTAATCCCAAAACCAGCCTCCATCTTCTTGTTCAACAGCATAATCAATTTTTTGCTCATTATAACTGCCTAAATCAGGTTCATTGTGACTTGTTGCTTAATAGGAACAAGTTGATCAACATTTTGTTCATTACTGCCCACTTCTTGGTCAAAAGGAACTTGTTGATTACCGCCTTCATCTTTGGTTAACATTTTGCTCATTAGTACCCACTTCTTGGTCAATGAGAACCAGCTGGTTATTATCGCTTCCATCTTGTTCATCAGTGTTCTGCTCGTTATTTGTACCTTCATCTTGATCATCAACATGTTGCTCATTAGTGCCCACTTCTTGGCCAATAGGAACCTGTTGATTACCGCCTTCATCTTGATCATCAGTATTTTGCTCATTATTTGTACCTTCATCTTGATCATCAGTATTTTGTTCATTATTAGCGCCTCCATCTTGATCATCAGTATTTTGCTCATTATTACTGCCTCCATCTTGATTATCAGTATTTTGCTCATTATTACCGCCTCCATCTTGATTATCAGTATTTTGCTCATTATTACCGCCTCCATCTTGATTATCAATATTTTTCTCACTATTACCACCTCCATCTTGACCATTAGCATCTCCATCTTGATCATTAGCATCTCCATCTTGATCATCATTTTGCTCATCAAAACTAAGCATGTTCCTGCCACAAAATACTCATTTGTATCAACCCTTATAAGTCATACTTATTTCTCAATCTGCAAACTTACAGTCTCATAAGGAACGTTCCTACCATAACATCCATGTCCCCGGTTGAGTGACTGCAATCTGGACAAATAAAAACTTCAGTATATTTCTTACAAAATGCTCTTTTAAATATTATATCTTACAAATTTCCAGCCGAGCAACGTTCCACATTGGATTCAGCAAGAATCGGCTAAAGTAGTTTCAAATTCTGATTGATGAATATTCTGGTTGTCTACATTAAACCTGTATATATAAAGAAGGTTTGTAACATATATACATATCTCAAGTTGCTGAAATCAAATTGCATGAGACTTACAGCCTATTAAAGATCCCAGCTGGCCACACCTGCAAATTAAAACATATTGCTTTGTCCCTATTATGCTGAAGCAACGTTACATCAGTATAATAAATAAGTTTGTTCCTACCGCCACATACTCAATCTGCAAATTTGTAATTAGCGCTTATCATTGCGAAATATCCGACGTTGTAATTTGGAACAGTGCAATTTGGAGGAATCATAGAAACTTCTGATTTAAACATGCAACACACATTGCTGCTTAGTGTCTAGACTTTAGATATATAAAATTGGATAGTAAAGCGATTAAGGATCAGTATGCAAGACAGCACAATCAGGTCCGTCATAGGCAACTTTTCACTATAGGGCAATCAAGCATATCACTTAAGAGGACAATTTATTAAGAAAAATGTCTACATTTTATCATTAGATATGTCTGCATTTAGATCAACTACTATTTATATTGTATGATCAGCATCTTCATTTAGTTTGTTGGTGCCTCAATCTTCATCATTATCTTCATGTTCATTAACGCCATCTTGATCATCTGTCCCTCCACCTTGATCATGATGGTGCTCATTACCACCTCCACCATCTTCTTCATCTTCTTCATTTTGATCGTGCTCATTAGCACCTCCATCGTCATTATGACCCTGTTCATCTGCCTCTCCACCTTGATCATGATCGTGCTCATTTGCATCTGCATCATCCTGTTCTTCATACTCTTCATCTTCTTCAGTTTCATCTAAATACATCAGCTTATTATTACAATCAATAAGTTCGAGCCTGCCATGCACACAAAAATATCATATTAATACCTTACAAATCATATTGCATTTGGCCTAATGATAAGAAACTCACGCGTTCATCAAAAAATATTCTTCTCTATGATGCAGAGTCTGGTTGCTATAAGGGACTACAATCTGAATAATAGATAAATATTTGTTAAAACGAACTGCAAATGAATAATAAATTCAGCACGTACATAATATTAATTAGCATCTTACAAGTTTCATCCCAAGCAGCATTCCACATTTGACACAGTACGTATCAGCTACGGTATTTCCATTTACTTGTCTATGGTATTTCTCTTCGTCCACTTGCACATTACACCTGCATTTACAAACAGAATAATGTTTAGGCAATTAACAAATTTCGAAGTTTGCAAAATGAAATCATGATACTCACATTTTATGAAAGACCACTGTCATCTCATAGTCTATCTGCAAAATTACAAGGCAAAAGTAGCAATTTCATGACACAAATCGCAAGCAATTTCATCAAAATGTATACTTTCTATTGAAAAAGGATACAATGTAAACGCAAGAAAGACGCTGAGAGAGTAAGATATATACGCTATCAATGAAATCGTTGGCTAATCCAATTCTGGTTTCGCATATGTTACAATGGACGATATCCTCTTTCGGATATTCATCCAAATCGACAAGATACAGAAATCCCATTGTATCCACTGTTATAGGACCAAAAAACAAAACAAATGAAAAAGAATTAAATCGGAATGATGTAACAGAGATGGTTGATAATGAGAACTAATAAAAGAAAAAACACTAGCGGCGAACCAGATAAAAGAAAAAACAGTTCAGTCATGAATCGAGTTGAGAAGAGTTATATGGGTTTTTACAAAGGTGAATCAAGTGTTTTCTGAAAAGACACCAAGTGAGAAAGGTTGCAATTTGAAAGGATTGTGACTTTTTCTTATAAATTATTACTTTTTTTAATGAGTTATCGGTCTTGACTTTTCAGAAAGATCATGACTTATAAAATTTATCTATAAAATTAAAAATTGTCTCTTATTTTTTTATGTCTATATCTAAAATCTAAATTTTTGAACATATTTCTTACAAATAAATAAATATTGAGTCGTTGTCTGATTAACTGCTGACTTTAATTTTTATTTTCGACCAGTAGAAGAATTTACGATACTATTGATATTTTACTTTCCCCCTTCACGAATGCGTGTCTTTTTGCATTTTGCAAACTTAATTTAAATTTGTATAGAAAAATTTCATTAGCCATATAAAATATTTTTTTAAATAAAAAATAATGCTAACAAATTGTGATCTTTTATTAACGACGATAAATATATTTACTTTTCCAAAAAATTTAATATATAATACAATCTAAGGAAATACTTTGATGATAATAATACACTTTTATCGAATATAAAGAACAACAAAACATTACCTTACCCACACCAAAAACATTTTAATATATACTATCATCTTAGGAAATATTTTGATGATAGTAATACATTTTCATCGAATGTAAAAAATAACAAATTATGCAACAGGTAAAAAACGATAGTATAATAGCTAAACATATCTAAGTTATAAGGTATAATTTTACCATGAATTTAGATATAGAATGTTAGAATTTTTTTATTATATTTGAAAACAATGTAATTCTTTTTATAATTTATAATAATTAAAAATTTAAAATATTTAAAAATCATAAAAGAAAAACCAAAGGGACTGGTAGAAATCTACGCTACTCATTTAATTAACATCCGTAGATCTTCTAATCAAACGGCTTATATTCAATCTTCGCCTCTCACATGGATCGACAGTACCATCCGTCGATGACCAAGTAAACACCCAAATATGAGCGGCTACGATTTACTCCCCGCCATATTTGGAACCCGCCCACCAAATATAAATACCCACCACCCTAAAGAGTACAATTCACCCAAATTCAAAACCCTAGAAACTACATCTTCTTCAAATTTCTCTGTGAAAATGTCTGGTCGTGGAAAGGGAGGCAAGGGATTGGGAAAGGGAGGAGCCAAGAGGCACAGGAAGGTTCTAAGGGACAACATCCAAGGTATCACTAAGCCAGCTATTCGCAGGCTTGCTCGTAGGGGTGGTGTGAAGCGTATCTCTGGTCTCATCTATGAGGAGACCCGTGGAGTGTTGAAGATCTTTTTGGAGAATGTGATTCGTGATTCTGTCACCTACACTGAGCACGCCAGGAGGAAGACTGTCACTGCTATGGATGTTGTCTATGCTCTTAAGAGACAGGGAAGGACTCTCTATGGGTTTGGCGGTTAGATTGGGGTTTGAATGTTGGTGGTAAATGTAGGTTTAGTTTACAATTGCGTATAAGTCTGTCTTGGATCTCTGTAGTGTTGTTCTTATGCTCTAGATGTTGTAATTTCTCATTACAGTATCAATGAACAGTAGATTGATCGTCTTCCTGCTGTTGGATTTATTTTTGTTAATTTGTTGAATTTCATATGTGCAATTCTTCAGATGTTAAAAGAGATGTGGAAATGAGATCTTAAAAGTATTCAATTGTTTGAAATAAGAGACTGGACATACTAATTGTTGAATCAAGAACAAACTCTTAATACATACGTTACAGAAACAAATATCACAGATGAATGCTTCATAGGTTTGTATTTAGATCTATTCCCTAAGCCAGCAGATCTACATCTTCATTAGCGCCTCCTGTTTGTTAGCACCTTCATCTTGATTATCAGGACCAATCTCGCTTCTGCCACTATTACTCATCATTAGAACAGCTTACATGTCACACCACATGTGTAGAGTCTTAATCTAAGAATTTGTTGTCAGAAACTTACAATCTTATAATGAATTCTCCTTCTCTAACAAAAATGCTAGGTTTGACCATTGCAATCTGGAGAAATCGTAAATTCTGTAAGAAAAAAATTAAAAATGAAGAACAAAATCGTTCTTTGGTACTTACAACTTTCGACCCTTGCAGGTTTAATACAGTAAGTGTCGGCTAGGTTTCTGCCATCTTCTTCTACTTGAAGATATGGCTTGTCCTCTGGTACTTCGACATTAAACCTGCATAAATAAAGGTTTGTAACATATGTATATATGCCTCAAGACTGCAGAAAAATGTTTAAGCTCGTTTGTAAAGCCCAATTTCCAAACATGAGACTTACACATTATGAAAGATCCATGTATCTGCAAAATGTACAAGACAAGAAAATGAGCATAGTAAGTTTCTTTGCTTAGTCAATAATATAACAGAGTGCTGAATGAATGATACAAATAGCTGTCAAAATGGAGGATTGAATCTTACATGTCCTCTTTATGAAGTGAATAGTGCAATTTTATCAAAAGAGACAATTCGGAACAGATGAGACCAATTAAGAAGAAATTAATACATTTACTTTGGAGTATCAAAGAAAATGTCTGTAGCCCACAGATGACAGAACCATTTGGTTTGTTGATAACAAATTGCAAGAAATAATGATGCAGTGAGAGTGGGAATCCATACAGAAGTAGCATAGCAATCCCTGATGAATCCAACTCGAGTTCCGCAGCAACGACAATTGATGCAATCATCATCAGGGATTTCATCGTAGTGAAGTATAAAAGACTTGAAAAAGTCTTTTATATCTTGTGTTCTTGTTATAGAAATGGTCCTCTCCTCTTGTTGAGGATTCACTTCTTGAGAAATTAAGTTTCTACTTCCTCTTCTCCTTAGCTTAACACTAATAGCATTCAGACTGTCAAAATGAAACGTTTAATCCAGACCAAGAACCAGGATATGTATTAGCTCTTAATAGCATTCAGACTGTCAGAGTTCGAAAGCAGTAAATATGCTCCAAATATTGCAGATTTAGAGACTTCAAATGAAATAGATACCAAGCCTCGCATATTTGTTACTACAAAATGACCTTATTGCTTTTACCCTTTCTAAAACATTTGCCACATGCTCATAGATTTAGGATAAGAGTAAAAGCCATTGATTCCACAGTTCTCAGCATGTCTGTTAAATTCTAACTTAACACATACTCGCATCAAAAAATAAGCAGCATATAGAGACAGTAGTATCAATGCTCAAACAGGTAAAAAGTTCAATGTCAATTGCTTTGTTCCAACCTGAAGTACTAACATGATCCCCAAATCAAAAAGAGAAAAAGAAATATCACACAATTATACATTAGCATTTTGTAAAGTATGAACTCTATTTCAGAAAGAGTGTATCTTTCTTTACTTTGATCAGCATGAGTAGGCTATCAATGTCTGCATATTCATCAATACGGTCTATTCCGTCGTGGTCTAAGTGTTCTTAGTCTCATTATCCTGTCTAGATGTTGACCACGATTTTGTTCATTAGCGACTCCGTTTTGAACAGCATTAGCACCTCCATCAGGAGCCTGTTCATTAGCAACTCCATTTTGAACAGCATTAGCACCTCCATTAGGATCATGTTCATTCACGACTTCATTTTGAACAGCATTAGCACCTCCATTAGGAGCCTGTTCATTACCGACTCCATTTTGAGCAGCATTAGCACCTCCATTAGGAGCCTGTTCATTCACGACTTCATTTTGAACAGCATTAGCACCTCCATCAGGAGCCTGTTCATTCGCGACTTCATTTTGAACAGCATTAGCACCTCCATTAGGATCATGTTCATTCACGACTTCATTTTGAACAGCATTAGCACCTCCATTAGGAGCCGGTTCATTAGCGACTCTATTTTGAACAGCATTAGTACCTCCATTAGGAGCCGGTTCATTAGCGACTCTATTTTGAACAGCATTAGCACCTCCATTAGGAGCCTGTTCATTCGCGACTTCATTTTGAACAGCATTAGCACCTCCATTAGGATCCTGTCCATTCACGACTTCATTTTGAACAGCATTAGCACCTCCATTAGGAGCCGGTTCATTAGCGACTCTATTTTGAACAGCATTAGCACCTCCATTAGGAGCCGGTTCATTAGCGATTCTATTTTGAACAGCATTAGCACCTCCATTAGGAGCCTGTTCATTCGCGACTTCATTTTGAACAGCATTCGCACCTCCATTAGGATACTGTTCATTCACGACTTCATTTTGAACAACATTAGCACCTCCATTAGGATCCTGTTCATTCGCAACTTCATTTTGAACAGCATTAGCACCTCCATTAGGAGCCTGTTGATTAGCGACTCCAAAGACAACATCATGCAGTGTTCGACCACTCTGGTATATAAGCAGCTCCCTGCCACAAAATATTCATTTGAATAAACACCTTACAAGTCATACTACATTTATTCGTTTACATACACAGACAGTCTCAATTTGCAAATTTGTAATTCGAAACTTACAGTTTCATAAAGTATCTTCCTACTACAAAATAATCCGACTGTTGGATAGTCCTAACCTGAAGAAATCATAAATTCTGTAGTTTAAGAAATATAGAGCAACCAAATCAAATGCTTTTTAATATTAGTAAGTATCTTACAAGTTTCCAGCCGAACCACACTCCACATTGGACACAGTAAGTATTGAGTAGGGTATTTCCATCACGTTGTTCTAGATGACCTCGGTGGTTAATTATTGCCCTATAATGAAACCTACATATAATACACAAACCTCAGAAAAAAGCTTAGGCAAATCACAATTTCATAAATCACAAAAAATAAGCAATTTCTGAAATCATGAGACTTACAATCTATTAATGTACCCTCCATACACTAAGTCATCCGCCTGCAACGTGTACAAGACAAGATCATGAACATAATGAGTCAAGAATTAAGCCAAATTGATGCAGAGAGAATCCTCACATTAGGAATGAAGTCCTCGATGAATGCAACTCGAGTTTCGCAGAAATAGCAAAGGATGAAATCATGCATGCTGATTAGATGATCGGAAACTCCAAAAGTGGACATTGTGGATCACAGAACAAATTTTCTTCAACAAAGAACAAAGTGGAAGAACTTAGCTTGGAGCTGAACCGATGGAAAATGAGAATTCAAGAAAGGAGAAAAATGTAAATATAGAAAAGCCACTTCTTGATTCTTGAATCCAAATTCACTGTTAATCAGAAAGGAGGGAAATCCAACTAAATTCTATTTTTACTTATATCTTCAAATACGCATGCACAATAAAGAAAAATAATTAATGTCAGTTGATAGCTAGAAAATAAAAGCAAGTTACTTATAGGGTGCGTTTGTTACGAAGGAAAATATTTTTCATGGAAAATGTTTTTCTCAAAAACAAGTAAATATTAAACTTATTTTCTCATGTTTGATTAGTGAGTAGAAAATATTTTTCGGAACTGATTTTTAGTGTTTGATTTATGAATGAAAAATGTTTTTAAGAGATATTTTTTATTTTTACTAAAGTAGAAAATTTATGAAATTGAAAATATTTTTTTAAATGGAGTGGAGGGGCAGGGGAGAGGGTAGGACTGAAAAATAAAAATTTGAATTTGATAATATTTTTAACAAACAATCTTTTTTGGGTTGGGTGGGTGGTAGGGGGCTGGCGGGAGGGAGGTAGGAGTTTAAAAATAAAAATTTAAAATTGAAAATATTTTTAAAAAGTAAAATTAATCTTTTCGGGAGGGGGTGGGGTTGGCGGGGGCTGGCCGGTGGTGGGTGGGTAAGTGGGGGGTCAGGGATCAGGTGAAAAAATATTTTTTTAAATTGATGTTTTTTCCCAAAAAAAATGTAATTTGAAATTAGAGGAGAGTTTTAGAAAATGTTTTCCTTAATTTTTGAAGAAAAGTCATTTTCCTTAATTTTGAGGAAAATGAGTTGATTTGAAAAACATTTTCCAAAACTTTTATTCCAACCAAACATGAGAAAATTAGAAAACTTTTTTTGAAAAATATTTTCCTTCATACCAAAAACACTCACAATGTACTTCTTTCTTTTAGATGTCATGTTGAGTTTTTTAAGGGTGTGCTCGGTATGATTGAAAATGTTTTCCTTCAAAATAACTAATTTATTTTCTCATTATAGATTGGTGAGCAGAAAGTAAAAAACAATTTGCATTGAAATTGAAACAAACTTTTTTTTTGAGGGGATGTTGTGGGGTGAAAATAAAATTTGGAAGTTAAAAGTATTTTTTAAAAACAAACATTAAATTTTTATTCTTTTTTGGGGGGAGGGGTGCGGGGTAAGGGGTGGGGTAAAGAAAAATTGAAGTTGAAAAATATTTTTAAAAATAAGTTTCAAATTTATTTTTTCAACAAAAAAATTGTAATTTGAAGTTGGATGAAAGTTTTAAAAAAAAATTTCGTCAAGTTTTGAAGAAAAGTCATTTTCATTAAATTTGAGGAAAATGAGTTGATTTGAAAAATATGTTACGCAACCAAACATGAGAAAATTGGAAACATTTTTCCGAAAAATGTTTTCCTTCATACCAATCACAATCTAAGAGTCAAATTGACTAATTTTCAAAGCTAAATTAAATTATATCAATTCGATTATTTTAAATTAAATTTTAGAAATTCAAAACTATACGAAAAATACTATAAATTATATTTTTTCATATCAGTATGAAATAAAAAATGCATCTTAAAATATTGACTCTTAAAAAGAAACTACGACAACCGAAAAAGAAGAAGTATGGTTTACCCTCAATGACGAGAGGCTTTTTGAGGGAAAACGTCACGATTTAGATTAAAATGGACAATATCAGAAAAATTGAAATCAACCAATTTTCTTTTACATAATTAGTAATTCCTCCGTCCAATAATAATTGTCTACTATACTATTTTGAATGTTCAACAATACTTGTTCATTTAATGAAATCAATGTATAGTTTTATATTTAGCTTCTAATTTTCCCTTCTCATTAATTATAGTCAATTTTCTAATATATACTTTTAACACGTTATATTTATCATATATATTCAAATGGTGATTAATAAAATTACCACTCAATTTATAATTTTCTTTAATAATGTGTAAAGTTAAAAGTGAACAAGTATTATAAGATAAAAGAATAGTTATTAACAAAGTAGGAAAATCTATTAACATCCCTAGATCTCTCTCACACGGATCAGATTCCTTCCAATCTAACGGTTAATATTCAGTTTCCACTTTTCACATGGATCACCATTACTATCCGTCGATCACCAAGTAAATCCCCAAATATTGAGCGGCTACGATTGATTTTCCGTCACATTTCAAACCCGTCCACCAAATATAAATATCCACCACCCAAAAGAGCTCAATTCACCCAATTTCAAAACCCTAGAAACTTCATCCTCTTCAAATTTCTCTGTGAAAATGTCTGGTCGTGGAAAGGGAGGAAAGGGATTGGGAAAGGGAGGAGCCAAGAGGCACAGGAAGGTTCTAAGAGACAATATCCAGGGTATCACTAAGCCAGCTATTCGCAGGCTTGCTCGTAGGGGTGGTGTGAAGCGTATCTCTGGTCTAATCTATGAGGAGACCCGTGGAGTGTTGAAGATCTTTTTGGAGAATGTGATTCGTGATTCTGTAACCTACACTGAGCACGCCAGGAGGAAGACTGTTACTGCTATGGATGTTGTCTATGCCCTCAAGAGACAGGGAAGGACACTCTATGGGTTTGGTGGTTAGATCAGTTGTTAGGCGCATTAGATGTAGATCTAATGTTAATTTCTGCTGTTTCTGTGATTTGGTATCTCTGTAACTGTTCGTAAGCTCTAGATATTGTAATTTCTCATTACATATTCAATGAACAAAGCTCAGTTTCTACAAATTACAACAGATATCCTCCAGTTGACTAATATCGTTGTTAATTGGTTAAAATCACCTAGTGTTTAAGCATTAGCTTTGTTGCCAATATCTAATCTTCATGTTCTCTTTACCGTGTTTTAATTTAGATTGCTGGTTTCAAATCTTAGTTGATAACCTTTGATTTGTTGCGTTAATAACAATTTGAAGAAAGTGAAAGAGTTCATAGTGCAGCTAATTTCAAAATTTGCCTGATCGTTAGATCTCATCAGTTGGTCATCTTTGGGATATTTGATTTGATTGAGTTTAATTTTGTTTTGGTAACCTAAATAGTGACATTATTTTTGATAAGACAAGACGATAAGACAAGAAAAATATAGTTTACATAATAGAGAGTAAAAGCTATAGCGAAAACAATTCATTTTAGCTCTTAAAAGTACTTAATTATTTTATTGAAATAAAAATAAGTCCTGAAAAGCCTAGAAACATTTCAGGCTTATATGAAGCTGCAAAGGTTTCAAGATGTAGTTGGTTATCGCGTCATTCTAACGCTAGAGGTCTCCGATTCAAGTTTTGGTGAAGCCAATTTCCCTTAAAGAAGTTGGTTTTCATATGTGTAGATTGCGCGTAGCATTAGCAAGTTGTTCAGCAGTACCTCCGTCTTGATCCATGGGAGCATGCTCAACATTGGCGTGTCCATTCTGTTCATTAGCAAAAAGTTCATAAAGAACTTGATCGATATCAGCAGCAGTTCCATCTTGTTCTTGATAAATCATGCGATAACCACCCCAATAAGCAAGTTTCTCCCTGCAACAAATTAAAACGCCTTTTACAAGTCGTATCACATCTAGTTACATTTTGCACTTATGTAAGGAACTTACAAATTCATCAAGAACCTTCCTTCCATAATTTCCTGGGATGGTCGGGGCACAGCAATCTATAGAAATGAATGAATTTTGTTAACTGCAAATTCTATCGTTAATGGAAAGGAAATTTGGGGATCTTACAAGTTTTAACCCAAGTAGCATTCCACATTGGACACAGTAAACATCAGCAACATTATTGCCATTTACATGGCGAATATAATTCGCATTGTTGAGGAACCTCACATTGAACCTGCATAGACGCACAACATATAAAATGTTTCCATATACATATAAATGTTTAAATTTTCCAAATTGCATCAACTCTTGAGACTTACACACTCTTAAAGACCCCTGTTCTACCATTTTGCACCTGCAAAAGGAACCAGACAAAAACATTTACCAAAACAAGTTTTTGTGCTTAATTAAGCAAGTGAATAACAACAATAACAAATCTCACAAGTAAATTGTAAATCTGTCAAAATTTTACACAGACCTTGCACGTTTTCGTGAAGATAGAGAGGTTGTTTTCAAATACTTTACTAATTGAAAATGTAGTAAAGTAAAATTTATCAAATAATTACAAATTATCCTAAATGCAGAGTTTTCACAAATCTACAAGAAAAATTCATGGCTAGCCGTAAACATCATAAACACCAAAATCCATAAAGAAATGAAATTGATAAATTATGTGAAAGAAAATCTCAGAATATTCAAAATTGAAAGAAAAAACAGATGTAGACAGAATGATGAGAAAAATTTGTACGATATCAATGTGATCATCAACAAATCCAACTTGGGTATTGCATGAATTACAATAGATTATATCCTCGTCAAGAAAACGATTATCTATGTAACTAATCACCACCATTGTATCAACTTTGTAAATCAACAACCTCTTACAGAACAAACAACAAAATGGAGAAAAAAGATCAAAGATAATTCATTGCTGAGAATAAGTGAAAAAAGATTAACTGAGAATGATTCTTTTATATTGAATTTTTACTCTTTTAGATTGGAATGACATAAATATAATTAATGTTTTTGTTCTTCTTCTATTTAGTTCACTTATGACAGATAAAGTTACTAGTTTGAAGATTTGACTAATAATTTTTTTTTGTTGGTTATAGCATATGTGCGCCTTGCATGTGTAGTCTACAATATTGGTCAAACTTTTATTTAAACGTAATAATTTCTCAATGTAAATAATAAACATAGTAGTAATTACGCAATTATGATATTTAGTAATATTATAGGAATTGTAAGTCACTACTTAAAAAAGAATATTGAAATACAAGTTTTAGCGTACGCGCCCCTTGCACGTGTAGTCGATGGTTATAGCCAAATTTTTATTTAACTGTTCGATGTAATAATAAACAGTTACCAAACAAGTTGTTTTTGTACTTGATCAAATTTTACAAATAGTTGTTGAAATTAAACAATCCTCACAACAACAACAAATCTCACAAATAAATTATAAATTTGTCAAAATTATACACAGACTTTGCACGCTTTCGTGGAGATAAAAAAGCTATTTTCAAATACTTTAATAACTAAAATCGCAGTGAAGTAAAATTTATCAAAATAATTCTACATTATACTAAATGCAAAGTTTTCACAGATCTACAAGAAAAATGCATGGCTAATGGTAAACATCATTGACACCATTCACATTGTAAAAAAAAAAAAACATAAAAAAGGAAATTGATAAAACATGTGAAGAAAAACTCATTATATTCAAAAATGAAAGAAAAAATATATGCAGAGAGATTGATGAGAAAAATTTGTACCATATCAATGTGATCATCAACAAATCCAACTTGGGTATTGCATGAATTACAATAGATTAAATCCTCTTCATGAAAACGATCATTTATGTAACTAATCACCATTACTGTATCAACTTTGTCAATCAACAATCTCTTACAGAACAAAGAACAAAATGGAGAAAAAAGATCAAAGATAATTCATTGCTGAGATAATTGAAAAAAGATTAACTGAGAATGGTTTTTTATATTGAATTTGTCACTCTTTAAGATTGGAATGACATAAATATAATTAATATTTTTGTTCTTCTTTTATTCACTTCACTTATGACAGATAGAATTGCAATTTTGAAGATTTGACTAATAATTTCTTTTGTCATAATATATGTGTGTCTCGCACGTGTAGTTTACAATATTAATCAAACTTATATTTAAACGTAATAATTTCTCATTGCAAATAATAGTTATAATTGTAGTAATTATGTAATTATGATAATTATTAATATCATAGGAGTTGTAGGTCACTACTAAAAAAAGATTATAAAAATAAAAGTTTAGCGTATGTGCCCCTCGCACGTGAAGTCTATTGTTATGGTCAAATATTTATTTAAATGTTCGATGTAATAAATAATGTACCTTATACACTAGAGTGAGAAAAGAAAGTAGAGTAGAACAAAAAGGATTGTGAAGAGGTACTTCTATAGTGAAAAAATAGTTCTTGAAAGTTAGAGGAGGAATTAATTAAGAAGAACAATCAAGGTTTAGAGTGAATAAAATTCACCATTTCTTTGGCCTGGTCTCAGATGGAATTTGATGGAGACTTGCCCAGTAGACTTACCCTTTTCAATTTCAATAATCTTTGTTTTTCGTGGACTCGTCACTTTTGGGCCAGTAAATGTAATTGTAGATTTCTAATTTTAGTTATAAAATAAAGACCCAACTGGGTCAAAATTTTAATTTTTTTAAAAAAAATAATTTATGACCGTTAAAAATAATTAGATGGACATAAATATAATTAATGTTGTTTTCTTCTTTTATTCACTTCACTAATGACAGATAAAGTTGCAATTTAACTACGTCACTCTTGTAAAAGTTTCACTATCATTTTTTTTAAAAAAAATACTAATATTATCGCACGTGTGCCTCAAATATATAGTTTACAATTTTGGTCCAACTGATAATTAAACATAATAATTGTTAGACCAAAGAGTATTCACTACTGAGAATAAATGAAAAAATTTAATTAATGGGTTTTTTCTTTTATTTACTTCACTTATAACAATTTAACTACTTGTTATAGGTTTATAGCACACGTGTCTCGCACGTGTAGTCTATTTTATTGGTCAAATTTATATTTAAACGTAATAATTTCTCAATGTAAATAATAAATGTAAGTGTAGTAATTACGTAATAATAATTTGCAATAGTATAGGAATCTTGGTCACAATTAATTTTTTTAAAGAAACTATCAGTTTTAGAGTATGTGTATTTCGCCGTGTAGTCTATAGTTGTGGCCAGACTTATATTTAAATTCTCAATGTAATAACAAGAATGTACCTCATAAAAGAGAGTAGAGTAGAACAAACAGGAATAAAAAGATGTATTTTTGCAATGAAAATCAGTCTTTGAATCTTTGAAAGTAATTTCTTACATTAAAACATATTAGATGGACATTAATATAGTTAAATGTTTATTTTCTTATTTTATTCACTTCACTCGTGAAAGATAAAGTTGAAATTTATTTATGTGATTTTCTTGAATATTTCACCAATAATTTTTTTGATAAAATACTACATTTTAATGTATGTGCACCTTGTACATGTCGTTTACGATTATATCAAACTTATATTTAAATGTAATAATTTCTCAATGGAAGTAATAAACGTAAGTGTAGTAATTACGTAATTATTATAATTTATACTATTATAGAAATTGTAGTTCACTAATTGAAAACAAATTATAAAAAATATCAGTTTTAGCTTAAGCGCCCCTCGCACGTGTAGTCTATGGTTATGGTTAAATTTTTATTTAGATGTTCAATGTAATAATAAATAATGTAACTTACACAATAGAGTGAGCAAAGAGAGTAGAGTAGAAAAAAGCGGATTGAGAAGAGATACATTTTTACTGAAAAAATCAATTCTTGAATCTTGAAAGTAATTTCTTACCATTAACAATAATTAGATGGACATAAATATAGTTAATGTTTTTTTCTTCTTCTATTCACTTCACTTGTGACAAATAGAATTGCAGTTTACCTATGTCACTCTTGTAAAAGTTTCACTAAATCTTTTTTTATATATATAAAAATAATAATTTGGCGGACATGGCAGTTATAATTAAACATAATAATTGCTAGATCAAAGATTATTTACTGTTGAGATTAAATGAAAAAAGACTAACTGAGAATGGTTCTTTTATATTGAATTTGCCGCTCTTTTAGATTGAATTGACATAAATATAATTAATGTTTCTGATATTCTTTTATTCACTTTACTTATGAAAGATAAAGCTGCAGTTTAATCATGTGACTCTTATGAAGATTTGACTATTAATTATTTTTTGTTATAGCATACATGCGCCTCATATGTAGTCTACAATATTGATCAAACTTATATTTAAACGTAATAATTTCTAATCGTAAATAATAGCTTTAAGTGTAGTAATTTCGTAATTATGATAATTAGTAATATCATAGGAATTGTAGGTCACTACATAAAAAAGATTATAAAAATAAAAGGTTAGCGTATGTGCCCTTCGCACATTTAGTCCATTGTTATGATCAATTTTTTATTTAAATATTCAATGTAATAATAAATAATGTACCTTACACAATAGAGTGAGAAAAGAGAATAGAGTAGAAAGAGAGGATTGAGAAGAGGTACTTTTATAGTGAAAAATCAGTTCTTGAAAGTTAAAGGAGGAATATAAGAAGAACAATCAGGGTTTAGAGGGAATAAAACTCACCATTTCTTTGGCCTGGTCTCAGATAAAATTTGATGGAGACTTCCCAAATTTGCAGAAAAAGAGGGTTGTTTGCCTAGTAGACTTGCCCTTTTCAATTTCTACGATCTTTGTTTTTAGTGGGCTGGTCACTTTTGAGCCAGTGAATGTAGTTCTAGATTTCTAATTTTAATTATAAAATAAAGACCCAACTGGATCTAGATATGTATATTTTTGCTATCTAAATGAAAAGAGAGCCTCACAAAATTTGTTATATATATCAAATATATATGAATCACACTATATACGTCTATTTTGTAATAACCACACTTGGCCCAATGGACTGGTTATCCCTCGGAAGTCCAGATTCAAAAAAACTAGCCCACCCTTAGTATAAGGTTAAATTCGTCAATAAAATTCTTGAGTACAACCGCTAAAGCATAAATCACCGTTTTTGGTTTATTATACTTGCCTAGGGATAGTTGAAGGTGAATTTGTGCAACAATGGCGTGGAGATCAAATCTCTCTCGGAACCTGAAGGAGCTTCGCATCCTCTTCTCTCCATCCTCATCTGAAAGTGCTGCGACTAGGTATTTTCACAATTTTTATGAGTACTGCGATGAAATGTAGTTGATTGATTGATTGATAGAGTGATAAGTTAATTCCGAGTAATTTGTTTCATCTTTTATGTAGGGCGTTCATTGAGAAGAATTACAGAGATCTCAAGACCCAAAACCCCAAATTACCTATTTTGATTCGTGAGGCCAGTTCAATCGAGCCTCAGCTCTGGGCGAGATATGGTAATTATTTCGGTTTTCTTATACCTCTGCAGAATCTTACCCAGCTTTGCATATTGAAATTCTGATTACTCAATTCACACACAAAAAAATTGTTCCTTTGCGTTTGACTGGTAGCATTTTCATTGTTTTTGTTACATTTTCATTTTTCCTAGGTCCAGCTTAATTGAAACTTATAAGCAGACTTTTGGTAAATAACCTATTAACATTTGATCAGGTAAGGGATTGATAGAAATCTTATTCCTAAATTGCATAATGAAGTTCACATCAAAACAAATAAGCACGAAGGAGTCATATGCGACTCTAAAGAAATATTCTATGATGATGTAACAGATGTAGTGAGAGTGATTAAGATTTGAGTATAATGAATTGACTTGTAAAATTAGGTCTGACCTCTAGTTCCAGGGGAGAAGGATTGTTCAAGTCTTATAATGAGACCACCCATCTCATTAACGTAAGACTTTCTTCATTCTTCAAATGGACCTTACCGTGGTTAGGCATGTAGAATATCTCGTTTTCTCATAATGATACTCAATCCGTTCTAATTTTATATATCCTTTCCTCTTTGGGATGTTTCCAGTCAAGCCTATCCACTCATTTGTTCTAAACCAGAGTTTCTAGTTTCAAGATCGTGCTTTTAGTAAGCGTGTGGTGAGATGTTCCAAGCATGGTATCTACTGATTTTGCCATTGCTATGATTCAAAGGATTCACCGTTATTTGACACCATTGCAAATGTTTGCTACGTTCTCCTATGGACAAATTTGATGAAGTGTAATTTTCAGTTTTCTTTAAAGTCAGTATATTTCAAATCTGATGTAGTCAGTTGTTTTGAGTGATCTTTACCCTGTTCCTGTGGTTTGAACTTCTATTCATGGATTTTACTTTTTTAAATGCTTATAGACCTGGGAGTTGAAAGGGGCATCAGACTGGAGGGATTGACCGAGGAGCAAATCTCAAAGGCACTTGAGGACCTTGGAAAAGTAGGGGCATCCCTTAAATCTTGATGGCATTGGATCTGCAGAATTGTATTTCTTTGCATTCAGCACTTTGTAGAGTTCTGTCCTCACATTGTGCTTTCTAAAATAATCTTTTGGTGCAAGTTATCATGAATCAAAAAACCGTTCATAAACCTGGAATCCTGGGTATTTTGGCTTTTATTTGCTGTTGAAATGAAAATGTTTGAAATCGTTTGTTGCTAGCATTAGAAGTTTAACGTTATTCCTTCTGTGCATTTAATCTTGTTGCGGTTGAAAATTTTGTAGTCCCAGTTTGTTTCTTGTACTCTTATAATGTGAGTTGACTAATCTATGCGTAGAGATAGCACTTAGGCAAATGAAAAGCTGCTAGCTATATACTCCAATCTTGTGTACTAAGGTAGAAATGAAATCTGAAGAAGAAATTGATCTTCAATTAAGGAATTTCCAGGAGGTAAGCCTAGATTTATAGTCTTGACTCATGAGTTTGAGAGAATTGACATGTTTACAATCTTCCTCTTTACATATAAAGAGGAGACAGTATAGGAAATATGGGAATTCTGCCCTCTGCCTGAAATATTGATATTTAAGCTCTGCAAGTTTCACCCACTCTTTGTTGAGCAACTGCTAGCACCAGTAATGCTAATGAAGAGATCTCATTTTTAGTCTTGATAAGCAGAATAGCTTGACTACAGGCAATTCCAAACTCCCCAATATAAGCCTTTCTGTCAATCTACTTGACTAAGGCTGAGAACCCAAGAAAATAGCCAGGTTGGTCCTTGATATCATCTCATATGCTGCGGAAAACGAATCGACATCTTGATGTGATACAGCCCTTTCGATTTTAGTTGGGAAAGAACGCTGAAACTAGGGAGTTCTTTCGCAGAGACAGGGGAAAACAATCATTCAATGAGGTATAATATATACTGTGTGGTACAGTTACAGTTTCGGAGCTTCACCAGGTTCCGGAAAATAAAATATAGTGGTTCAGTATCAAATAACCGGGATAAATGTAAGGATGTAAAAGTCAAGTTGGATAGACTATAATGGGTTATTCTGGTTATGGTGTTTATGGGTGTAGTTTAGACTCCATGAAATCATGATTTTGTAGCATATTAATCTCACATTTGCAACATAACCATGTCTTTTCTTGCGACTGGATCCTCTTCAATCTGGAAGGGGTTGAAAAAAGGGATCATGTCAGATAATTTTGCTCGTTCATGGAATTTTACAAATTTCCATCCCAGTAGAGTCTCGCATGTGTTACAGTAGACATCCGCGACTGTGTGAGGACCAAGTTGCCTTACATGCACATTCATCTTTCCCAGAACAAACAAAATTGAAGCAGAGATGGGTGATGCAAGTTGTGAGTTATGAAGAGGTTTAATAGAACGTGGAAAAAGGAGTTACTCTGTTGAAAATGAAAGATGAACAGGTTTGAGAGAAGGGGAAAAAGAGGAGTGTTATTATCAACTGATGAAAAGAGAACTATAAATAGCATCTTCTTGATAAAATACAGGAAATTTCTAGTATTAGAAATTAGACTTTGACTACATGTATCAATCTTTCCCAGTAATTCAAAGGCATAGTATTTAAGGGACAAATGCCATTGGAACATAAAAGCTGCCAATTCAATTCAACTTCTCTTTGATTTCAGAAGAATTTTTAGGGTGAATTAATGTGCAAGATTTGACATAAAAAGGTGTGTTTGGTACCAAGAAAAAAAAAATCTTGGTAAACAAATAGATTTTTAAAATTTAATGTAATTAGCATATATCTCGCATACCAAATATACGAGCGAGATAAAGAGAGTCATAAGCAAGATAGAAAGGAGGCGAGGGCGCGAGATTTGTCTCTGTATTCTAAATACATGCAAATCTACTTGAATATAGTGTATCTAGAACAGATTAATCTAATTTTGAGTTCATATATTTCGAGATACATGTATATGGACATACTACAATTTGGTAAGAATCATGTATTACAACATAATGTGTATTTAAATAGTTAGATTATACATTAATGAGATTATGTTTAGTTATCTTTAAATAAAAAGTTTGGCCAATAGGCACAAACATGACCCTGCCATGATCAAGCCTCAAGGGTTTATATTAGTTAGCCGGGACTAATAAGCCGTAGTTCTCAAAGGACTTAAAATCAGATTTCAATTCTAATATATTAAATTTTAAAAAAAAAAGGAAATTCAAATTTTAAAATTTTTCTTTTGAATGGGGAAGTCGGGTAAGGCATATGATTGGGTAAAAAAAAATTACTTGAAAAATATTTTTCTCAATTTTCAGAGTAACATCATTTACTTTGAATTTGAGATTATTTCCAGTTACGAAAAACATTTTTTCGCCTCACCAAAGAAACCCAAAAGCAAAAAAAATTGCAATGAAGTAAATTCAGACAACTATTAAAGGATTGTGATTCAAAATGAATGACGAGAATGAAAAGAACGTTGGCGGTACGTTAATGCATTCAAGATTCGAAACTTAACTAACAATGGAAGCCGTCATTTTTCAACAAAAGATGAAGAGTATTCAGCTTGCAAGCTTAATGAATTTGACTCAAGAATGACGATTACTTAGAAATGGGCGAAAAAAGAAAAGATAACCGAGTAGTTGACTGAAATCTTTGCAAAGAGCAAGGTAGTTTTGGCAGAAACGATCAGACGCATATGGAATTCCCCGCAACTGAAAACTTCCTCTTGAAAGAACAAAATTGAAGCAAGTTGTGAGTTATGAAGAGGTTTAATAAAACGTGGAAAAAGGAGTTACTCTGTTGAAAATGAATATGAACGAAAAAGAGGAGTTACTATCAACTGATTCTTGTTGAAAATGGAAGAGGAATAAAAAAGGGTAAATAAAATATTAATGAAAAGGACTATATCATCTTCTTGGAGAAAAAAGGGGAAATTTCTATTATTAGAAATTAGACGAGATTTAAGAGTTTTTCGACTTTGACTATATGCATCAATCTTTGACAAATGCCATTGGAACATAAAAGCTGCCAGTTCAATTCAACTCCAGAATTTATTGGGTGAATTAATGCACAAGATTTGATATAAGAGCATAAAAATAAGCAATACAGAAAATTGAGACAGAATCATTAAAGGATTGTATTTCAAATCTGAACTACACAAAATGGATCGAGATGATCCAAAAGATCAACAACAAAACGAAAGAAAATAGTAAAATTGTATCTAATAAACCCTAATTCTAAACAACCATAGAAATTCAAATAACAGGATTGACCCATAAAACTATTCTAACTCATCAGAACTTCAAGAGCTAGTAAACTTTGTAACAGCCTTGGTGCCCTCAGAAACAGCATGCTTAGCCAATTCACCAGGAAGCACAAGTCTCACAGCAGTCTGGATCTCCCGAGAAGTAATAGTTGGCTTCTTGTTGTAACGGGCCAATCTAGAAGATTCCTGAGCCAGCTTCTCAAAAATGT